ACGTACACTCCTTATTAATTTGCAAAACTTTTCCAAGGGTTTCAATGAAAGTTAGTTGCTGGCGGCGTTTCAACATTCGAAGTGATTGGACTTGAGCCAGAAAAACTGGGTCTAGCACACGAGATCGAGGCTTTCGGGCAAACTTCCCGGAAAATGAAATTGGCTTTTCAAGAGCCCAAATTGGACAAGTCAAATCCCGATAGAAAAGTTGTTTTTCCTCGCGAAATGTACCCGTAAGTCTTGACTTATGAAATCGGTATATTTCCCTGGTTCTTCACATAATGAATAAATAAAATATTAATTGTAGTCGAATCATTACTTGCATAAAAAAGGGGCTTATGTAGAAGTGTTTAATATTACATAAGAGGATATCAACGATGTAAAATAACAGAATAGAGCAATGATAATATGGTCTGTAGTTAACCATTTTTAATACCAATGAATAACACTTTGACTCTAATAATGTCTTGTCAGGTTGAGAAGCACAGCAAAGATTTGGCCGCCATCATGGTAACATATCCTTCCACTAATGGAGTCTTTGAAGAAGGAATCAGGTAGGCGCCAACGATTTTCATATTCATATAAACTTTTGAAGTGTTGGTTTTGGCTAGCGAGGCAAACTGTTGGTGTGGAATTGGGTAAACTAGGTTGGGAGTGAGCAACCTGTTGAAGTTTGCCCTCAGTTATTTATTTTCTACATCTTCTCCTTATTGACTAAGTTTAAGATTTGACCTGGTAAAGGAGGAGGGAGGGGTAGCACAGTAGACAACGGAGGGCGTGATGCCTACAAAAAGTGATATTTCAAACAACTCTTCTAGACACAATTGCTTTAGAGCTGCTCGTCTAGCACGCCACTCCACCCCAGTCCCCTCCGTCACCCTTTTTCACCTCGTATTGCCCCATCAGACATAAAAAGCGACATTTTCCTTAGTTATGTTTGTATGTCAGTTGTTTACCTCTGGTTAGGCTATTTTTTCTTATTTCGCCCATTCATAACCCTGTCAAATTCTTGAAGCGAGGAGGTTAACTAATTTTCGTCAACCGCGACAAAATTTGGAAATAAGTTTAAATAAAAAGACGAACCTTATTAGTAATAACTCAGTTGTTTTGAATGTGATAGGGACATTTGTGACTTGGTACATGAACATGGAGGACAAGTCTATCTCGATGGCGCTAACTTGAATGCTCAGGTTTGTTTATATTTATGTTGTTTATTGTACGGGTGGCATCGCGTGCACAAAAGATGGAACAAACTCTTAGTTCCGATTGGCCACTCAGCATAGGTCCATCTGGCCCGACTTTCTTTCACGATTAAGAGCTTGAAGCCCAATCTTGGCTTCATAACAAATCCTTTATTGATTACGTTTTCTCAGCCGAGATCACAGGATGTAATCATTCCCTGTTACGTTCACGAAGGCCTTAGACACAAAAACGAGAGTAACAATGGGTCAAAAGAATGAAACAAAGATACATGAACATCGCCTAGAGAACAGAAACAAGTCACGACAGTGATTTGGGTCGATTGAATCGAGATCTTTGCAATATCGTGATAGACCTTTCTTTTTTTTTTCTGAGCATTTTTGTGTTTGAAATTACCTTCTAATAATTACTTGTTTTTGTAACAGGTTGGACTTTGTCGACCAGCGGATTATGGCGCCGATGTTATGCACACAAATCTACACAAAACCTTCTGTATTCCTCACGGGGGCGGGGGTCCTGGTATGGGGCCTATCGGAGTGTAAGTATACAGTTCACTCTTGGCATGGTTTGACTTGGTGTAATTGAAAATCGATGATGTCACTCTTCTTTAGGTCTTTACTAAACAAATGGAATCAAGACTTCCGGACTTTTTTTTTTTAATGGCAGTAACTAGCTCTCCGTATAGTGCCTGGACAAAACATATTTTATAAAAAGGATCATGTTGATTGTTGTAGTTTGCTCATCTGTGAATTGAAGATCAACAAAAAATGCACTAGATAATGAGGAAGACGTTGATGAGTCAACAACAAACTATTCTAAAGATATTAGAGCGGATTAATGTCACTTTCGACTTTTAACGAGTTTTAACTGTTTGTTTAATGCCCCCACAGGAAAAAGCACCTCATTCCATTCTTGCCGTCCCATCCCGTGGTTGCACCTCAGAGTTCCAGAGGTGAACGTACCCATCCATTTGGGGTCATTTCAGCAGCTCCATATGGCTCCAGTGCTATTTTACCCATTTCCTGGTCGTACATCAAACTTATGGGCCCCAATGGTCTCGCACATGCAACTAAGGTTAGAATCATTCTTTCCTTTTTTATATTATTCAGAACATTTCTAGTTTTGATTTAGATATTTCCCCAAAGTGGAGCCATTTACGTGTAAACAGTATGGCATTCGGTTAGAAAAGTTTTCTTGCAGCATGATTTGTGTGTAACAACCTCAACTAGGCTAGAATGGCATTTTCCTTTTCGTAGATTATCATTTTGTAATCTTTTTGCTTTTTTTACTTTATAGATTGCAATTTTGAACGCAAACTACATGGCTGCCAGACTGAAGGATCACTATGATGTTCTGTTCATCGGAAAAGACGGTAATGTCGCTGTGGATTTGGAAAAGTGATTTTGGATCTTCCATTTAGTGAACTCTCTCGGGACTGGAAAAAATTTCCCTGAATAGATGTGTCCAAAAGTGAACAAAAGTGTCGAAACTTTTTTTTTTTTTCACTTTTGGTAACTTTTAAAAGTTTCTTGACATTTTCTTTTTCTTTTTACCAGGTTATTGTGCCCATGAGTTTATTGTTGACGCCAAAGATTTCAAGAAATTTGGTATTGAAGCAATCGACATTGCTAAGAGACTTCAGGATTATGGTAAGGAAATGTAACGACTGTTTGGATGAACCAAACAAGGCCAATGCAAAATGAAACCATCTTTCACGGCTCAAAAAGCAAGATAACACATAATGAGAACCGATATTGCCGGGAAGCATGTTGCTTGTTGCGTGAAAACGAGGTTCTGATTAAAAAGCGCGGGAAAATGAGTAACGGGTGCAAAGCGTGAAAATATGTAACACGTGCCAAGCGCGGAAAAATATGTAATCGGTGCCATAACAAGAACAACAAATAATCTTCTGGGGCGTTGTGATCGGTCGCCTAGGTATTTGGGCAGACAGTGGTTGGTCAAATGGGATTATCATATTTTATTTTATGAAACAGTGTTAAAACTGTTCTTTGAATGGAGATAACAACTTTAAATTTTTCAATTTTACTGTAGGTTTTCATGCGCCCACTGTATCTTGGCCAGTGAGCACTGCCCTAATGATCGAACCCACAGAGAGCGAAAGCAAAGCTGAGTTGGACAGACTATGCGATTCACTCATAAGTAAGTAAATTCTGTTCATTCTTTAAATGGTAGTATGAATTTTTTGACAGCACTGTTTTATCATTAATTATCTCATTCAAAGTGTCTGCTCGTCAGATAAGAAAATTTCTCAGAAGACGAGGTTACTTTAAGTAGAAATATGGCCCGTTTTGCTTTCCTTTATCACTGTTTTCCTCCTCGCTTGCCTCCAGACGTCTGATTTAAGGAGGCAAGTTTACGTTACAAGATCGCGATAGTTTCCCATTTCGCTACTTTTAAGTGAATGTGGGCTGCGAGGTGTGCTGCCAAGATGGCAGCTTTATATTTTTATTTTACTTCCTCTTCAATTCCCTTCTTTCTTTTTGCCAATTTCTAATTCAAAAAAAAATCGGAATATGGCAATTTATGTTTTGTGATATAGTTTTTTGATAACCAAAAAACGAGTAATGAATAATAAAAATAAAAGATGACCTTTCTTTCCCCCTTTTATCTTTTTCTCTCATTTTCTTTTTTCATTACTTCATTAGTTTATTTGAATTGTTTGGGATGATAACAGTGAATTTTTTTTTTGTTTTTTTTTTTTTATCTGCAGTGATCCGCGAAGAAATCCGTTTTATAGAAGAAGGCCTAATGGATAAAGCAAATAACCCAATTAAGGTACATTTTGTATTAAATCGTTTGAAAGTAGAGCACTTACTCCTTATTATCGAAAGAGAGCTGAACTACTGTAAACTATTTCTGAACTTGCCTTTCAACAATTTTCGTTCGTTACATAGATACGTTCTCTCCTTAAGACGCTCCTTTGAAGAACGATTTATGTAATCTTGTCTTCAATTATCTACAGAATGCCCCACACACCCAGGATGTAGTCACTGCAGATGTATGGGATAGACCTTACAGTCGAGAAGTTGCAGCCTTCCCCGCTGTGAGTACAGAATGTTTAATTGTTACAACTTTACTTTCGTGTCACGCAGCATTCGTGTCGATACCCTTGACGCCAACTTGGTCGCTCCATGACTCGTAACGCTTCTATGTGCCGTAGCACTTAGTCTGCGCAGTCAGCTGTCGCGCAATCTTGACCCACCGTCAATTATCTGAAAGCTTGCTACAACGAAAATTATACGAGTAGAACAAAAACATACCATAATACTGGGTCAAGCGAAATAATGTTTCTGCCTGTAGCAACCAAGTTATGGCGTAGATGATGTTAACAAGACATAGATAGAGACCTTAACCTTTTCAGAATGTCTAGCTTCGAATCTATCCTTTCAGAATCACCCTAGTATCAAATGAAAAGGTCATGAGATGAGAAGGAATTTTCACTAATTTAAGAAGCTCCAGATTGTTCAAAAAGAAATAATCCTTGTTAAAATCATAGGAAATATAAAAAGAACAATGTGGGACAAAATGACTGTTTATCTGGAAAGAGTTCATGCATTTAGACCCTCTAACACTTGTATCTTACATGAACAGAGGGCTATCAAGACGTGTGTTGTAAATTTTGATAGAAGTATCCTCTTTTAGCCTGAGTGTAAGATTTTCTGGGGGTTTTTGGTGAAGGGGCAGCAAAAGGGTTTCCCTCTCCCATCTCTATCACCTTCGGAAAGTTTGCAACCCATGCTGACATTTCACGTGGTTTGTTTCGCCAGCCTTGGTTAAAGGGAACCGCAAAATTCTGGCCAACGTGTTCACGAGTAGATGACAGATATGGCGACCAACATCTGGTGTGTTCGTGCCCACCTCTTGAGAGCTACGATGATGAAAAAACCAAGTCTTTTGCTTAAGAATGTTACAGAACAATATGGAGTTGTCATCCTTTGCGGGCTTCCTTGAAATCCGTGGGATATTGTGCTTGCCGTTATGTTCTTGGGAACGCCTGGTTTTGGCATCTTGAAGAGAACGAACAATTTGACAAAAATCGACAAAATACTTAAAGAATTTAAGTAGTTTTTCAGATTTATCGATGGCACAAACCTGGACGTGCTAAATGTTTGCGATATCAGGACGATACCTTCAATGAAAATCAGTACGAACACCTCACCTAGAAAAAACGTATGTACTTTCACGAGGTTTTACTCCGTAGAAGATCATAAGATTCTTTTGATAGAAGAGAGCTTTTGAGTCCACGCTTTCCGACTGACTTTTCACCAAGATATGAAGCTTTAATTTCCAGAACAGGAGGGAGCTACGTCACACTACTAAGTTATTTTTGCAACTTTCAAAGTTAACTTTAGATCAAAGGAAAGCTCACAAGATTAGTTTGCTAAGTGGAACGCGTGGAAGTGGTAAAAATAAACTGTTATTGGGGAACGAGGATGATTGATAATGGAGAAGATTAAGATATGAAAATTAAAAAATTGAAAAATGTAGGTTAAATTTCCAAGAAGAACAAATCTTCGCGGAACTTAAGTAACTAAATCTTCGCGACTCTTCGGACATCACTTTCTTTGTCTCTGGCGCGGGTCCGTGACGTATTGGTCTTTGAACGTCACCGTGTGGAGAATCTAAAGTCGTTCTGGTTTGAGGGCATTTAGGGAATTAAAGTCTCAGGCGTTCGTTTTAAGAGGGTTCATTTGATAAGTTAATGTCCTTCTACTGTTCCCTTTTGGCCTCTTGACTTTGTTTACGATAATAAATGTTCAGATAAAAAGTTCAGCTAAATTTAGAATTGTTTAGGACGCGGTTTTGTTAAACAACATTTAAACTTTGCTTAAAGAACCGGTCCTTTGTGTTTTAACATATTTCGAGAGAGGATCGTTATTCTGTTTTGTTTGTTGTCACTTATTGGGTATTTTAGGGGGTGCCGCACGACTAATATGACAATGGAATAAATGAAAAAAGCAAAGATCATTTTATTTGAAGCTAGTCCTGCTTTTTCATACTGCTCAAAAGTAGCTCCGTGCTAACAGTGTCATCCACCGCGCTACTGGGTGACAACCAACACGCGTGCAGTCTGTTACTTGATAATGAACTGGATAATGATCTACTCGCCGCCATGTTTGAGGCATGCCAACAAACTTTTTTTTTTTTTTTACCCTGACGAAAGACTAATACTCAGAAGATTATTATAAGATTCTCTCAACGGTGTCCAGTTCACATCTTTGGTTCATTTGAATAAATCAAAACTAACCAGCTCGAAGGAATTTCGCAATTCACCGTGGTGACCACCATGTTTTTCTTGAAAACACAAAGTGACGGCGCAAAATGCTCGTCGTTGTGCAATGGAGCTATCCGCTGATAATGTCCTGTTAGATTACTTTGTAACAACTTTAGAGAGCATCATTTCGACTGTTTTACTTTAACAGAATATATGGAGAAAGTAGCTTCACCCCCTGCTATATACCTTTTCAACATTGTAACATTACGATCGAAAAAGTTACCTGCAGCGCATACAGGGTACCGGGGCTTCTGATAAAGGGAAGGAGGAATGGGTGACAACGAAAAGAAAAAAATGTGGGAAAGACTCTCTGATGTCATGTTTTGTTTTGCTTTCATTTATTTATTTATTTTTTTTAACAAATATCGATGGTTTTAAACCTAAGTGTCATAAACATGTATATGGTCAAAAGTGCGAACATGTGTACATATGCGCGCCATCGTCTATATTATAGACTTTGGAAAGTTCTCAATAATTAGGATCTTAAAAAAGTAATTAAAAAAACTCGCCAATTCATCAAAAAAACGAACACACATTATGATCTTTTCCATTGCTATCTTTTCTACAGATTTGATTTTCTGTTTCTCAAGTCAACAGTATTCGTGCAACTATAACTTGTAAAAGCAAATGAACGAGAGGCAGTAGTTTACAAACCATTCTAAGTTTAGTCGAAGAAAAACTCGTTTTACTTCTATAACCTATAAACTTCCATTTCACTCACCCTGAATGTCTTACCCCCTGTTAAAAACGTCTCAGAATTTTGTCCTGATGGACATTGGTAAGCGTTATTCAAATATGCAAAGCAGTTGTTGGAGTTTGGTGCATTGTAAATACAAAGATCATGATTAATTCCACCTCCAAATACTGGTCCAAAGCTACCGCTACAACATATAGCGTTTCCTTCTTGTCCACTCTTCAAATGCATCTTTGTTGGTGACAGACCACTCGGGTTGACAAGACTGAACAGAAACGAGTTTACTGCACTTTTATATGATCCACTACCTAAACAAAAATCAAGCCAACCAGTTAAAGTAAATGGCTACAGAATCTGACAATTTTAAATTTCTGTTGTTCTTTTATCCAATTTCTAGTCACGACTTTCTTCGAATGGGGTCTCAGTATTGGGTGGGGAGTGGTCTTATGCAATGAGCTAAGTGTACGCGTTGTACAAATGGTGATTGCCTTAAATCATGAAGAGCACGTATATACCAGAGGACGTCATCACAAAATTGTTTTATTTGTTTTGTACAACAAGAGACTTTCCAGTGCAAGGTCAATTTTCCGAAATGACTTTGCACTAGAATTCTGACGACCTCTCACTAGTACTTATTTTGAACTCGATTTCGTCTATCACGTTCCCAAGGTCCCTTCCTTTCCATTTCCTAGAGTTAAAGATCCTAATTTTTGCAAAGACTCAGCACAACAACACTTTCAGAAACAGAGACCCCTCCCTAGGAATTTATTTTCTTTTTGGAGTTATATTCTTTTTCGATGAATGTCCAAGTGGATCTCTCAATTCCTAAGGCCGGGGAGAGGAGAGTCCCCAGCCCTGGAAACTATGGTAGCTTGTCGCGACAATTTTTAATGCATTGCAACCTTTGATAAGCCGCGACTCAAAAGGCTCATTTTCATGTCCTCTGTGACCAAACAATCACAAATTAAATAATTGTTGTTTGTATTTATTGTCCAAATTTTGATCTGCTTCAAACTCTCAGGGTGGTAATTTATAACAAATTAACAAACTTCTTCTGTACACTCAAACGTTGGGGGACATTTATGCCTTTTCAAATACTCTGTTAGCATTAATTATTTGAGTTTCCTTGTCGTAATTTTTCCGACAAGAATTTGGGAAAAACTATAAGAAGAGAACTGGGTCAGTGTTTAGAACTTACCACTATCCCAACTTTGTTCAGTGTATCCTCCAAATATGTTATTTCCACTCTGAATTACTGCAACAGTTGGCCCTTTGTTATCACAACAGGAGTGAAAGTTGGAAGAAGCCCAACCATCTCTGGAAGCTCGGTACAACAAAAGCTCATCTCTGTTGGAAAAGCCTGATGTGTTCTTCAACCAATTCATCAAAGTCTGCCCCTGACTGGACGAGAGAATCACTGAATCCTTGAACGGTTGAACTACATTCGGGATTGGATGTGCTGATGGCGTTGGTTCCAGCTCGTTTATCATTCCTTCGACCTGATAAAATTTGGCCTCTGCCAGCAGTTCTCTACGAATGATCTCGTCATTAGGGACGATAAGCTCCCCCGTGCGCAGATAATTCAGGATGTAACGAAAGTGGGTTCCGTCTCGATCAATAAAGTAAGATCCATCCTCACCAGGTTTTGTGTCAAATCTGCTTGAAAACATGGCGTGTAACATGGAACCTGCGATAAGGAGCAAAAACATATTTCGCCAAGAAATCAGCTTATGTCAAATACGTGCTTGTACACTGTTTAGTGAACCATTTCTGGTTGAATCGTTAATTTGCGAGTGAATAAGTGATTCCTTAAATCAAACCCTTTAAAAGTTAAAGTGTCACCTCCGTCACGAATCATAAAAATACTCGGGCTGTTTGTCTTTGCCTCTTTAGTGTTTGTCTGCCCACCACATAATCGAACACCGGTAATTTCCTTTATGGAATCTTTCTAGTCAATTCCATGCATGGCAAATGCACCGCAACTGGTTTCCTCTCTTAATTAGGAGCACCTTTGATTAATGTGGACGATTGAGTCGTTCGTTTGCGCATGAGTGACTCCTCAAGCCAAACCCCCTTGAAAGTGAAAGTTTCAGCTTCCGTCACGTTCTCATTTTATGTAAAATTTGTCGGGCTTATAGTTGTTCTTCATTCTTCATTTCTCTTCATTAGTACGTCGTTACCTCCTTACTGTTTATATTTCCGGTTACCAAACAATCGAACCACCAACATTTTGCTTTCATAGTTTTAAAAACCATGTTCTCGGAATACGTCTTCACAAAGATCACCGAAACTTTCCTGACCTGTCGACGTTCATTTAACAGATATCACTTTGTAATATTCTAAGTAACGGTCAAATTACCTGGATCTTTAGTCATGGTCTCTAGACTTGTCGTGAACATATGGCCGCCGACATTCAGTTTCAACATCTTCGAGAAGTGAACATGTTCAAGCTTCTTCGTCACCTCGTCAAAAGCTTCCTTCTCCTTGCGAAGCTTGTTCGTCTCCCGCTTCAGAATATCATGGAAGTCATTAATATACTTGTGAAGTTCCTCAAAGGCTCCATCGCTGAGGGAATCCTCTACATTCTCCGACTTAGGCGATGACATCTTTCTTCTGCCAGAGACAATTTAACGACGCATGAATTCAGTTGGAGTGATCTGTTTCCTCGCGTGACCGTTCTACCTCAGTGATAATGTAGTTGTCTGCCCTAAGATTCTCAAATTTGTAATTCTAATTTTTGCAACTTCTCATGATACTATGCATTTGAACCTCAGGGCTGTATTGTCACGTCACGAAAGACAACGCAAGGTGGGTTAAACACGAATTACAAGTGATAAATCCTAAAGTGTGGGCTAGATTTTTAGCCACAAGCGTATTAAACTTACATTAACCAAATTTCTATTTAGCTCACTTTTAAGCTCTCTCACCATAAAAGTTACACATTTTCCTCTCAAAGGTCGCTGGCAAACTGTCTCTTTGGAGGTGAAATAAGATCGTTTAAACGTCAATGACTGCGATGCTGAAACTCAAATATCTGACATGTCTTACCTCCTACTTTTATCTGTCTTTTCATATCCTTCGATGCCTATTTTCTCCTCGTTCTTGGCTGCTTCTTAGACTGTTTTCTCAAATTCCTTGTCTCTCGTATTCATCAGACCTTTGCATTTCGTTTGGGCCTTTTCTTCCTCTTGAATTTTCTGTTCTTCAAAGAAACTTCGCTTTTTACTCAGGCCCTTACCCTACTAATCATGACCTTTCCTGCCATGTTTGGCTTGCTCTAAGCGGTATTTCGGGTTAGGGTTAGGGTTAGGTTAGATTTTTCGATTTGTTATGTACCATCTCTCTACATTTCCTCGAGGCCTTTCCAGCTCGTCTCTTTCGCGCGGTACTTGAATCGTTTTTCGTCGGGTAATTCTTGCTCTCTGCCTCTCTCTCACTTTCCAACCTAATGTAGCGTCTTTACAACAGTTCATCAAAGTCTGGCCTTGATCGGACGACAGGGTCACTAAATCCTGGAAGAGTATTGGTGTCAGCGCCTTTATTATTCCTTCCACTTCAAAAAACGTGGCCTTAGTTTGCAATTCATAATGAACAGTCTTATCATCGGGGACGATGAGCTCCTTCGTGCGCAGATAGTTCAGGATATACCGGAAGTGGGTTCCATCTCGATCAATGAAGTAGGTTCCATCCTTGTCAGGTTTTGTGTCAAACCTTCCAGAAAAAATGGCATGTAAAATGGAACCTGGATGAATAAGCACACAAATTAGCGTTAGTTACATTTGATTCAAGTCAAAATAGGTCGGAATTATTGAGATAAGCTACCACAATGGATAAGTTTATTCCATGGAAGACTTTTCTTTTGCTTTTTATCTCCATCTGTTTCTACATTTACGTTCCCCATTTAGGATTTTTTTTTCTATTTTTGATGTCCAGCCAACGTTTGTGCAGTTAAATTTCCCATATAAGTGATCCATGGAGAGTGAAGTTCAATTTGTCTTTTAGGCAAAGGGATCTAGGTCATGGTCTGTGCCTCTGGTATCGTGCCCACACGCTCGCAGCTCGTCAGTCGATTGCAATCAGTATCAATCTTCACCATCCTTACCAACTTTAATTCTGTCACGCAGCATCTGTGTCGCTACACTTGACGTAAACTTGGTTGCACTTCTCACCTACGTAGTTTTGCGCACAATCAGCTGCCATGCAATCTGGACCTGCAGTCAATGTTAAGGAAGTTACTAAACAATATAGAGGTGCCATCCTTTGCTTTGCTTCCTTGAAACTTGTGGGGTATTGCGCTTGCCGTTATGCTCTTGGGAACGCCCGGTTTTGGCATCTTGAAGAAAACGGACAAATTCAACAAAAATCGACAAAATACAAGGATAATTTAAGTAGTTTTCCAGATTTATCAATGGCACAAACTTGAACGTGCTAAATCTTTGCGACGTCGAAATGATCATCTCAGGACGATGCCTGGAACGAAGTTCCATACGAATACCTCACCTTTCACGAGGTTTTTATAAGGTAGAAGATCATATTTTTTTTTTTATTATTTTATTATTATTATTTTTTTTTTTTAACAGAAGAAAGCCTTTGAGCCAAGCTCTCTAGCTGATTGAGTTTTCATCGAGATGTGAAGCTTAAATTTCCGGAGCAGGAGGGAGCTACGTCAGACTACTAAGTTATTTTGACAACTTTCGAAGTTATCTTTAAATCAAAGGAAAGCTCACAAGATTAGTTTGTTAGGGTAAAACGCGTGAAACTGGTTAAAATAAAATATTGAAGAACAAGGATTATTGATAATGGAGAAGATGAAAAGGATTTAGTCAATATTACAAAATGAAAAATGTTGGCTAAATTTTCAAGAATAACAAATCTTCCAGAAACTTAAGTAACTAAGATGACAATGAATTTTACAAAAAAAAAAAAGATTTTTTCACCGAAGCTAGTAAGGCTTTTTAAAAATGCTCAAAAATAGCGTTGTGCCAAGAGTGTCATCCACCGCGCTATTGCGTAACAATCAACTCGTAATCTACGAATATAAGAGATCCTCGCAACTAAGCTGCGAGGATCTCTTATATTCGTTTCTTCACAGCAGTGCACATATATGAATTTCATATATCTTAAATCGTTATTTAACACGTAAGCTTTGAAAATGAACTGAATAATATTCCATTCGCCGCCGCCTAGTTGGAAGCATGTTAACTACCTTAAATTTCATTTTTTTCAATTATTATTTTTTTTTTATTTTTATTTTTTTCTATGTATTATACTTACATATTTACTTACACCATACTTACTTCTTACACGATAATTACACTACATTGACTTGCACTACTTACAATACATATATTACAATACAATAACACTAGTCAAATTGAATTACAGTTGATCTATTTACGTTATTGTTAGCATGTTAATTGTTCGAGTCACTAAAAATAATTTTGTTTGTTAATTACAATACATAAGGTATTTATTTTCTAGAATTTAATAGATTATTAAATAAATAGGTAGCGAAAAGAAAAAAATCAAAATACAAAAGTTGAGAAGAAAAAGGACACAATACAATTTTATAAAGACGAAAAAAAATTTTCTAGTGACTGCAATATATTATTCTAGATTATTTTTTTCGCGCAAAAGTGAGACAAAATCATCGAATTGGTACGTTATGGTATTTAAAACCTTAACATATAAGAAGTATTTACCCAAAATAATTAGATGGTTGAGGACTAAACAGCAGGTGCGACAGCAAATAATTCCGAACATAACCTCTAGTTCTGACAGCAGCAGTATTACTAGAGATCGAGTACCACTCCTGGAATCTAATCCAAAAAGAACTTGCGTGCATGCAGTTTAAAAACAAATGCCACAGGGTCTGACACTCAGAAGGACAAAAGGGACAGGAGGGCGAGGCAACTTTTTTTCATTTTTGCGTAACAAGCTATTCGTTGGTAAAATTTGGTGAATGATTTTGTGTTGAAGATCGTCAATTTAATTTCTCTCGTGGCTTTGAATGATAGGAGGTAGATTCTGGTCAAGTCACTTTTCTCGGCGCCAGACTTTAAGGTTAAGCAGCATACTGTATATAGTCTTGCATGACAGTGAACAGATTGAGGTGGGAGGCATAACTGGGTCTTTGGAACCTTCTTGCAATATTTTCTTCCAATTTTGGGGAATAGAATAGAATATAATATTGTAAAAAGTTACATTTTACATTGAATTTATATCAAAAAGAATTAAATGGAAGGAAATGGCCCTCACAGGAGTAAAAAAGGTCCCAGATTTGTTTTATTCCTGCTTGATAGCAATGAGGAAGGAATACCATTTTCTTATTCACAGTAAAAAATCGGTTATTCCAGATTTGCTGCGAGAGAACCTCATTTTATTTTTAGGTGTGGCCGTTACGATGTCCTGCCAGTAAAAAATGATCTGTTTGTAGAAAGCAGGAAGATGGTTGTCAAGGAGATTATAATCATAATTACATTTAAACAGTTCTGTGCCGCCAACATCGGCTAGGAGCGATTTTGGTATGTACTGCTATGGAGCATCCGAGTCAGAGCATAACCGTTTCACCCAGTTTAACTTAAGCGCTTTGTCAAAGAGAGAAAAATCCTTCATGTTCAAGCCACCAGCTGTTTTTTGCTCGATAAGGGTAGTCTTTTTGATTTTGGCGGGTTTGTGATTCCAGATAAAGTCGAACGTGATCTTGTTTACTTCTTTAAAGGGGTGTTCATGACGCTGCAGATAAAGACCAGTTTTGAAAGTGCTAATGTTTTAATTATGTTTATCCTACCAACGATGGAGAGGTCTCTTTGGAACCACATATTCAATGTTTTCTTTAAAGATCCTAATTTGTCGACATTTCTTTTCTTTTCAGACACCTCTAGATTATATGTAAAAAATGCTTCCTAAAGAAAAAAAAAGGTAACAACAACACTTGCGTAAAGGTTTCCTGGTGATACCCAATAAAGCAATACCTCTGATTCACTAAATGTGAAAATTAAAATCAATGGGTCAGTACCTGTTGAAAATGGATATCGGCCACCGTTGAGATGTTCTCAAGCTGACGTTTTGAGTTAGCTCTGACGATGGGACAATACTCGAAAGATTATCTGAAGAATCTCTTAACGGTGACCAATTCACGTGCACATCAAGGTTTTTCTTTAAAAGCAAAATGCTCGTCGCTGCACAATGTAACTATCCGCTGACAATGTCGAGAGATTACTTTGCAAGTTTTGAGAGCATTATTCTGACTGCTTTTATTAAAGGGAATAGCTTCTTCCCCCCCCTCTCTCTTTCCTGTCAAATACGGTCGAAAAGTTACCTGTGGTGCATACAGAGTGCCGGGGCTTCTGAAAAAGGGAAGGAAGACAGGGTGATAACGAAAACAAAAGTATGGGAAAGACTCTGTTTAATGGTTTTTTTTTATTAACATCAATGGTTTTAAACCTTAGTTCCACGAACATTTGTGTATAAACAAAAGTGCGAACATGTACATTTGCGCAACATCATCTGCGTTATAGACAGTGGAAAGGTCTCAATAATCAGGATTTTAAAAAACTATTTAAACAATTCAGCAATTCATCAAACCAAACGAACACACATTATAATCTTTTCCATCACTATTTTCCTTAAAGTTTGATTTTTCTTTTTTTCAAGTCAACAGTATTGGTGCAACAATGACTTGTCAAAGAAAATGAACGAGAGGCAGTAGTTTATAAACCATTTTCGCTTCAGTCGTAGAAAAAAATCTTGTTTACTTCTATAACCTATAAACTTCCATTTCAGTCACCCTGAATGTCTCACTTCTTGTTAAAAACGTCTCGGCATTTTGTCCTGATGGACATTGGTAAGCGTTATTCAAATATGCAAAGTTATTGTTGCAGTTTGGTGTATTGAAAATACAAAGATCATGATAATTTTCACCTCCAAATGTTGGTCCATAGCCAGTATGACAATACATAGCATATCTTTCTTGTCCACTCTTCAAAGGCATCTTTATTGGTGATAGACCACTCGGGTTGACAAGACTGAACAGAAAGGAGTTTTCTGCACTTTTGTTTGATCCACTACCTAAACAAAAAACAAGCTAACCAGTTAAAGTAGATGCTAACAGAATCTGACAATTTTAAAATTGTTGTACTGCTATCCAATAACTAGCCACCAATTTTTTTTTTTTGAATAGAGCCTTAATGTTGGGTGAGGAAAGGTCTTGTGCAATGAGCTAAATGTACCCGTCGTGCGAATGGTGGTTGCCTTTAATCTGAAAGAGCACAGACATACCAGAGGTCGTCACCACAAAATTGTTTCATTTTATTTGTACAGCAAGGGGCTCAAATTTGAAACAATTTTCCGAAATAATTTTATATTGGAATCTTGACGGCCTCTTACTGGCACTAATATTGAACTCGATTTCGTTCATCACGTTTCTGCGCCCTCCGCCTTTCCGTTTTCTGAAGCAAAAGTTCCTAATTTTGCAAAGACTAAGGATAAACATTTTCAGAAACAGAGACCCTCCCTTGGAATTTACATTCGTTTTGAAGTTATATTTTCTTTTGATGAACGTCCAAGAGGGTCTCTAAATTTCTAAGGCTGACGAGTGGAGATTCTCCTGGAAACAACGGTGTTTTACTTATAGTAGCGCGCCGCGACAATTTATAATGAATTGCGATCTTTGGAAAGGCGCGAGCCGCGACACGCGACGATTACTCACACTCGAAACAACACACTGCAAATGTTTTAGCGTGCGCGGGTGCGTAATGTGATGTCAAATTCGGTGCCTGATTTAGAAACACAACGGGTCATTTGCCATTATCCTGTTCCTATCTCATTTTGATGTCCTCTGCGACGGAACAGACAGAATAAAATGGAGTCCAATTGTTGATAGTATTTATTGTCCAATCTTTAATCTACTTCAAATCCTCAAGGTGGGAATTTATAACAAATTAACATTCTTTTCCTGAACACTCAAACGTTGGGGGACATTTATGCCTTTTCAAATACTCCGTTAGCATTATAATTATTTAAGCATCCTTGTCGTAACCATCCGACAATAATTTGAGAACAACTGAGAGAAAAGAAGTAGGTTAGTGTTTAGAACTTACTTTCCCAACTTTGTTCAGTAAATCCTCCAAATATATTATCTCCACTCTCTATCACTGTAACTGTTGGCCCTTTGTTATCACAACAGGAGTGAAAGTTGTAAGAATACCAACCATCTCTAGAAGCTCGGTACAACAAAAGCTCATCGCTGTTGGAAACGCCCGGTGTGTTCTTCAACCAATTCATCAAAGTCTTCCTCTGATTGGACGAGAGAATCACTGAATCCTTGAACGGTTGAATCACAGTCTGGATTGGATCTGCTAATGGCGTTGGTTGCAGCTCGTTTATCATTCCTTCGAACTGGTAAAATTTGGCCTCAGCCAGCAGTTCTCTGCGAATGATCTCGTCATTAGGGACGATAAGCTCCCCCGTGCGTAAATAATTCAGGATGTACCGAAAGTGGGTTCCATCTCGATCAATGAAGTAAGATCCATCCTCGTCAGGTTTTGTGTCAAATCTGCCAGAAAACATGGCGTGTAACATGGAACCTGCGATAAGGAGAAAAAACATATTTCGCCGAGAAATCAGCTTATGTCAAATACCGTTTATTTTGCTGCTGGGCAAAGAGCGAGGGTTTCGTATATTTTAGAGAAGGAGGAATTTTTAGCCGTGTGCTTAAATCAAGTGTTGTTACTAACTACGATAGTGGGCTTCCACGACTGTAATAGATCCTCCATGCCTTTACCAATGCAGAATCGGTAAGAGTAATGCTGATAGGATTTACTTCAGGATACATTATGTACTGTACTTTCTCATTTCTAACATGATTTTTCTCAAATTACATCGAGAATGGAAAGTCTGCAATCATTATGACGTGAAGCCGGTTAGATCCTAAATACACGTATTTCAAATCTTGATCTGATGAAAATGTACAATCAAGAGAGCGATGCTGTTCCGTTCCTCTTACATTTTATGATTAAATATTGCTTATTCGTTTCGGTTTTTTTTAATTTTTATTTTTTTAAGTTACCTATTTGATCTTTAGTCACTATCTCTATGCAGCTTATCAACAGTATATCGGGTAGATCTATGGAAATCTTGGAAGAGGAGAATTAAGTGATTTCATCCTAGGTCATTACAACTATGCTAGGAGTTTGCGAAAGGAGATGGGAATCATACTGGTTTTAACCCTTTGACTCTAAGCTAAGAGAAGCTAGCATCTAATTTCTCCTTAGAAAATCATCCCTGAATAAAGGATTTCGAACAAAGAAGTCGCCGTCAAACTAAAATTTGCCACACATGATGTTAAAAACGAAGTTTCCTTTCTTTACACAAGGACCAGTCTTTATACAAAAATATTAACAATTGCCTGGAACAGTAATTTTTGTTGTTTATCTGCCTATTTCTGGAAATTCAGTGCAGCGTAACTAATCAGGGGGTCTATAGCATTTGAACAGCTTCTTCGGGCAGGCGTCTTTTCGCCTTTTCCCCGTTCCCTACCCCCATCGTACACCTCAAATCCAAATCAAACATGGCCGGTCGATAAACGATCGCGAGCTTATAACGTTAGCTCGCACTGATAAGACGACTACACTGCAGGCTATAACTTAAAGAAAATGCATACAGAACAGTATGGAGAATATGCATACTTGAGCTAGGGTGTAAAGGGTTAACGACTGGTGAAATCTACAATCTTCGGTACTTAAATTAGCTTGTTGTATTGTTTTTTTGGATACGCAGTTTTTTTTACCCTGTTGCATTTTTATACCCAATTGGTTACTCTTGAGATTAGTTCTCGTATCTTTCAATATAAACTTTAAAAAATTTAATCTAGACAATCTTTGAAAATAAACACACTCTGCTTTTATCGCTGGTGACACCTTATTTGAAACTTACTTGGTATAACATTATCCACTGAATGAAACTAGTGGACAGCGTAGATTGTTCATTGCATCAATGTCGAATCCAATTTAAAAAATAAGTAACTAGGAAAGCTTGCAGTTAAAGATACATCAGTCACATTGAGACATCAACAAATACACGGAGTTAAATACAAACCTTGTTCGTTTCAGCTCATTTCCAAAACTTCTTGTAAGCGAAAAGACACCACTTTCCGTTGAAAGTATTCACTCATGATGGCTGACGATCTTTCGTATATTTGTTTGTTATTTGCATCCTCCGTCTTGTTTTTCAAATCTGGTTATTTCTGACAGCGAATGCGCTCTCTCGGCATTAGTAGCTCTTGGCGTAAGCTACAAGGACACGTATCCGTAGTCTCTAGTAGATTACTCATTTCACCTTCTTAGTCATTGTTTTCTTCCACACTTTTGGCTCGTTTTGGCTTGAAACGATACCATTTAAGAACTGTCGTGACCACGATCGAAAGGTAAACCGTCGACACAGGCGGGGGTAATGAAAAATTGGACGGTTTGTGGTCATATCTAAGCTAATTACCTATTCATAATGGCGGGGCACTTTGGCGACTTTTAAGTGGGTTTTCATTAAGATCGGAGCAACTTTGGAAACTGAAAAAACGGTAACTAACTCGGCTTAGTGTAAAATATTTTTTGGTGGCTACAAAATATATGCGATTTTTTGAGTGACCTTGTCCTTTAAAGCAATTATAGTTGACCCTCATTGTGATTCCAAACAATGTGACACCATGCATAACAATATTTCGAATTAATTTCAAGATCCTTTAACAGCTCTTATTAGTCAGTGATTCTTACTGTATGTATTTTTAAATGTAAGAAACATGGCCTAAGTTACCTGGATCTTTATTCATGGTCGACAAACTCGTCGAGAAAAGGTGGCCGCCAACATTAAGTTTCAGCATCTTCGAGAAGTGGACATGCTCAAGCTTGTTCGCCACCTCATCAAACGCTTCTCTTTCCTTATAAACTTTGTTCGCCTCCTGTTTCAGAATGTCGTTAACATCTTTAATGTACTTGTTTACTTCTTCGAAAGCTTCATCGGAGGGTAATTCGGACACTTCTTCGAGCTCTCTCGGTGAAGACATCTTGATTAACTAGAACAGCAAGACACCTTAGCGCAGCACAAAGTGATATTACCGAGCCTTTTCAGGAATGCAGAGTTAACATGAGCAATCGATTCCGGGAATTATTCAATTTCCCGGAAGCAATGCATAATTGAGTGGTCACACGCATGTCTAAAAATAGGAGCATATGAGATTAAACGTTGCCACAAGGAGACCCTACTTTCGTCACTGATTACAAGACTTCCTCATGCTGTTTCACTCTTGGTTCTGGTAAATTGCGTACAAATTTTTCACTCTTACGATCGAAGCTGGATCAAAACTTAGACTGTTCATAGGTGTTTACGCAACAAAATTTCCAGCATACAATCCCTTTGAAAATAGTTTAGGAAAACTTGTACAGGAGTTGAAATAATTTTACTCAGAGAACCCGGCCAGTTACACACTAGTTTAGGGTTTGTTGACAAGGGAAAAATTAGTTAGTTTTGCGTAGCTCAGGCATAAAGCAGAATGTTATTTTGCCCTTCTCCTTTAATAACAGCATTTCAATTCAGTTTAGAAATAATACGCAAAATTGTTCGAAAGGCTCCTTATTGCGCTACAGGATAAAAATCTAACCGGCTCGGTCTTGAATTATTTCGTAAAACAAGTACAATAAGGCTAACATATTTTGCCGACTTATATTTAGGGTTTGGAGTCGTAATAAATTACACGTTTATTTCAAAGCACACAGAACAGAGCTCAGGAGAGTAAATCACACCACCGGTGAATGATTATTTGATGCCCATTCTTGTGTATAGAGGCCTAGGTACTAGAAATATGCTAACGCTGGCCGAAATCAAGGCAGTATTACGACAGGGATAGACAGATTTCTCTTGACATATAGTCATTGCCATCGCACAGTGCCAAGGGTGTTCAGAGAAAGAAAACGCAAGATCAAAATTTTAATCGTGGACAGCCCAATTGCCATGCGTTACGCTTCTTTTTTTTTTTTTTTTCTTCTATATTTTTAATTTTAGAGACCGGCTTCGGGCAGGACGCACCTGGTGTACAAAAATCCCAATTTCTTGTCGCCTAAATTTTTGTTCCATGCACAGAGAATGACAGACGGTTAGCGCTATTCTTTTGATTGTTTAAGGAACCTAGCTATGGTCCGGTCTGGGCCTCGAATTAACTCCCGACTATCTGCCAGTTTCACAGTTCAACGGCCTCCCAGCTGTACCGAGCTGGTTAAGGGAGGGAACATTCTTTAAACTCAGATCTGAAACTTTCTTGGATTCTTACAAATAAATTTTTCTTACTAGGCGACAAACTGATAGAGTCCCACGTGGGCCTGAGAGATTTATTACCGGCATTGCACATGTGTGACACACCCAGCTGGCCATGCAGAAAAAAAAAGTTCAGAGAGCCAACTTGATTTAGAAACACAATGGGTCATTTGCCATTTTCCTGTTCTTAACTCATTTTGATGTCCTCTGTGACCGAACACACATCCAAAAATTAGAATCTAATTGTTGATTGTATTTGATGTCAAAATTTTGATCTGCTTCAAATCCTCAAGGAAGAAATTAATAAAAAATGAACAAACTTCTCCTTTACACTAAAAACGTCGAGGGACATTTATGCCTTTACAAATATTGACAGAGTCATTAATTTGCGCGCGAATGAGTGATTCCTCGAGACAGACCCTTTAAAAGTTAAAGTGTCAGCTTCCGTCACGAATCATATCAAATTACTCGGGCTAGTTTATCCGTGCCCCTGTAGCGTTTGTATTCCCTACAAAACAGTTGAACTGATACCTTGCCGAACCTTAAGCAAATCATCTGCTTACAAATCCCACCCCAGGGCCTCGCTCGTATTTTGACAATACTCATACAAATCATAACTGCTAATCCCGTCACTAATTTCTTTATTTTCTGTTTCCACAAATGATAAAGGCACAGCAGCCGGTTTTCCCAAGTAATTGATAAACGTCTTTGATTACAACCCAAAGATTGATTCGTTTGCTTGCACATGATTGAGTCGTTCATTTGCGCATGAGTGACTCCTTGAGCCAAACCCTTTCAGAGTGAAAGTTTCAGCTTCCTTCACGGTTCAAGTTTCATTTAAAATTTTTCGAGCTTCTAGTTGTTCTTTATTCTTCATTTCTCTCCTTAAGTACATAGTTACCTCCTTAGTTTAAACGTTTTTGTCTACCAAAAATTAAACCACTAACATTTGGCTTTCGTATGTTTAAAAACCATGTTTTCGGAATACGTCGTCATAAAGATGACTAAACCTTTCCAGACCATTCGAAGTTCATTTAACAGGCATCACTTTGTAATAGTCTAAGTAACAGTGGCATTTCCTGGATCTTTAGTCATGGTCTCTAGACTTGTCGTGAACAAATGGCCGCCTACATTCAGTTTCAACATCTTCGAGAAGTAAACATGGTCAAGCTTCTTCGTCACCTCGTCAAAAGCTTCCTTCTCCTTGCGAAGCTTGTTCGTCTCCCGCTTCAGAATGTCGTAGACGTCATCAATATGCTTGTAGAGTTCCTCAAAGCTCCCATCGCTGAGTGAATCCTCTAGATACTGCGACTTACGAAACGACGACATCTTTCTTTTGCAAGAGACAAGATAATTTAACGACGCAGTACTGAATTGGAATGATTCGTTTCCTCGCGTGACCGCTCTGCCTCAGTGATAATAGTTGTAAGCCCTTAGATTCCCATATTTGTAATTCTAATTATTCCAATTTCTCATGGCAGAATACATTTGAACTTTCTCGTCACGTCACAAAAGAGAACGCAAGGTGGGTTAAACACGAATCACAAGTGATGAATTCTAAAGTTTGTGCTAAATTTTAAGCCACAAGCGTATCAAACTTAGAATTATCAAATTTCTATTTCTATTTAAACATCGATTATTCTCAGAGATGTCGAGACTGAATGTTGGTGGTCATATATTCACGACAAGTCTAGAGACCATGACTAAAGATCCATGTATTCAACAATACTTAGCATATTACAAAGTGATATCTGTTTAATGATTTCCATCGGCAGAAATATTGATGGATGGCGTCCTTTGCGTATTTCGTCCATAATGGCGTCCAAATGATATAAGAAACTGTATGGAAATTTGTAAAATTTCTAAAATATAGCAATCAGGAGCTCATGGTCCCGTCTGCTCTCGATCGAGATATATTCAGTACTGATTCTGCTATTCATCAAACCTCACAGGGACTCGATAAATAAAAACCACTTACTTCCCGAGCCAGTTCTTTTGTCATTCATTATTGACCAAGGTCGCCATACAGTTCTTTAAAATCTGTCGTTCTCCATCCCAAACACTTGCCTATTACAGGAAAGTGTATTAATTAAGTCAACTGCTCTCGATCGAATTGACTGCGACAGAGTTCGAAGCGTCCAAATATCCTGTAAAATTGCCATTTTCTCCGATCAAAAAAGTTCCCAACGCGCCAGAATATCCCTTATTTTCCATGTTGGGTAAGTGACGAGACGCCATGTTGAAAACTATGACTGAAATAGTTAAACACGAGCAGCGCTGATCTTCGAATCGTCGGCCATATTTGTTTATGTTCTTGCAAGGAAATAGCAAAGATTAGTTCTCGGTCCTTTTCGGAATAGAAATATGCCAGGCATTGAATGCAAATTCAGTAGTCTTAGCGCGAAAATTTAATTAAAGCAAATCAAAATTCTGACATCGCTCTGCCTCAAAAGATCCCAAAGATTTACTTGCAGGTCTTCTTTTCTTTTTCTTTTCATCAAATAGAAGATCTGCGGTGCTCAAATTGTATAAGTCATGGTACGAAACACTCTTCTTTGCAGATCGAGCCGTGATCGCCGCCATATTGAATTCTCTTGATATTCTATTGTTCCGGAGTGTAATACGATATACCGCTGATAATTGTTAGCGGGCTCGAAATGTCCTTGATTTCTGGCGATGAATTGGTCCGAAAAGTTGTGGTAATACGCAGACTAAGGACTCAACCTTCTGCTTTTAATCAAAGGCATCTATAATCTTTGTGAGAAACCAGCTGCTGTGCATCTATCATTTATGGAAATTGACAGGAAAGTTGCCGTGAAGGAAACTGTCGGTGTTCGATTATTTGGTAGAATAGGGCAGACAAACACTTAAGGGGGTAAAGATATATAAGCCCGTGAAATTTTATATAATTCGTGACGGAAGCTGAGTTTTTCATATTTAAAATGAAGGAATCACTCATTCGCGCGCAAGTAAACGTCTCTTCATTGGAAATGCAATACTAAACTTTTGAATATCCAGTTTGAATTGCCTTTTCTTACGAACTGCGGAAGAAAATTACAGGCTCTCTTGGTTGACGATAAAGAACAACTTTTTCTGAGAACAGAACAATGAAAACGCGTTTAGCCCTTAACACTTCAAAATCAGACTGCATATTCTCCAAAAAGCTCTTCGTACATTTACACTGTTTTTTTCTCGTAAAGCGAATGCGTTATAATTCGATTTTAAATTAAATGCGTAAATTAAGGTGTCTCAGAAGAAAATTGGTTCAGAACCGAGACAGAGGAAGAAAGTCAAGAGACGTCAAAGCAAATATTTAAACAGCGTACTCTTTGAAAATATGTATAGTCCGTGGTTTTATCCAAACTTTTTAATGATTGTATGATATCTTCAGAATGTTTAAACGCAGTAAAGACAGAAGGGGGATGTTCCAACTACCCCTACCTCTCTCTTTTACCACGGTGGGAATGCTGTTCAACATGCACTAGCGTTGCTGCGCAACAGCTGATCTTTAAAGTTTTTAAGTTTACCGCGTATTATGTAAATTTTCCTAGTATATACACGATAGTCACATGAATATTCTTTCATTAAACCCCTGAAGAGTGAAGCGATTCACGAAACAGGCTTGTCGGGAAATGTCGTTGCGTCCTTTTTTCCTCTCATAATATATATAGATATATATATAGTAGATGACCCTTCTATATTTTTAAGAATAAAAGGTTTTCATACAGTGATACATGCTGTTAAATGTCATTGAAAATACAAAGCGAATATATCAATTTCGTGAATTAAAATCATGAATTACATAACAAACTTCAGTAAATCTGGTTGACATATTTAAGTCTTAAAAGAATTTCAAGTCAAAGTCATCTAAAACTGGTTATATTTGTTTTGAAATAAATCCACAACTAAAGGAAATATAAATCAGGGTAGATTAAAATTCATCAACTTGAAATTCATTTAAAACATAACAATGTTAATGATTTCAAGCTTACTTCACATACATAAGGTGCCCTCTGGATGGTAGTGTTTTTTGAGTAATGCAAGATCCTACTATCAGGATGATTAAGACGGCAAAGCATGAAAATATACCTATGGAGTGACTCCAAAACAGTATAAGACTAACATGGAATGTAGGAAGGTTTTTTCCATAAATCAAAAATTAACTAAAATGAACTAAATTCAACGTAAATGCACGAAGCACCTCAAGCCTGTAGTATTTTCTAAACCACTCGAGATCTTACCGGCTAGAGGTATACGACCAAGGAACAGGAAGATATTTTTGAAAAAATGATTCTGATGTAGTGTGAGAGTAAATGGAATGCCAAAATGCAAAATTCAACGAAAATTGTATAAAAAATTGGGCAAAGTCGATTATATATGCAAGCTGTACCTCTAGCCGGTAGTATTTTCTAAACCTCTTAAGATCCTACCAGCTAGAGGTACAAGACCAAATTAAAAAAAAAAGTCAATTTATTCTTGTAAAAATTGATTCCAAGGAGTGGAAAATTACAACTTGGAGTGCAGAAAAGTATAATGTGGAGCAAAACCTGCTAAGAATTGGGCAAGCTGTACCTAAAGCTGGTAGTATTTTTTAAATAAAATCCTCATGTCACCCAAAGAAATAAAATTAATTACCGTTAATTCGACTTATTAGAATATCCATGATCCCAAATAAATACAGCAAAAGAGAAAAATTCTTCCCCCGCGTTGTCTATCTATGTATCGATCTGCTTCGTGACAGTCTTCTTGTAGCACTTTTACAATGTCTTTGGTACAGTGCTAGAAATTTTAATAATCATAAAATAATGACGGGGGCTTCTATTGAACTGATCATAATCACAGTTGCCAAAGAAGTACAAATAAGTAACTTTTTAAAAACCGAAAACCTGTTAAGGGTTTGATTGTTATTTTTAACCTACATGAATATTATATAACACGTTCAAGGCCATGAATAACAGTCTAATAATCTGCTCCAGTCACATAATAACAGACGTTATCAAGTGTCGAATCCAAAAACTTCCATTTCATTCACACGAAAGCTTTGATTTCCTGTCAGAAAAGTGCTTCCCACTGCGCACTGATATGTATTGTTGAGGGTCGTGGTGCAATTGTTAGTATTTGGTGCGTTGTGGATGAGAATATCATGAGTATTGCCACCTCCAAATACTGGGCCATACCTACTGTTGCACCAGATAGAATATCCTTCCTGTTCAGCTCTCAAGCGCATTTTTGTTGGTCGCAGACCACTTGGGTTGACGAGGCTGTATAGGAACGAGTTTTGTGCTCTTCTATACCCTGAAGAACCTTGAAAATACAAATGCGATTTACACACCTTCATATCTAGTGGATTTACGACTAGGTTTACAACTAATAAAACTAAGAGTAATCTGGCAGACCGTCTTTATTCAAATTGCTTCAACGACACAGGGTTTCAAGAGTCATGTACACTCTATCGGAGATGAATTATTATTTTTTAAGCTCCAACTTCTGTACTTCTATCAAGTAACTCGCCGGGATACGATCTGCGTCAAGACTCTTCAGATATTTTAACCATTAGAGACAGAGACAAGTCATTAATCGACACTAATATCTTTCGTTACAATCTTACCATCCCACTCTACTTCGGAATATCCTCCAAATATGTAATTTCCGCTCTTTATCACTGTGACTGTTGGCCCTTTGTTGTCACAACAGGAGTGAAAGTTGGAGGCAGCCCAGCCATCACGAGAAGCTCGATATAACATTTCAACATTGACGCTATGAAGGATTGGGGAGTTCTTTAACAACTCCAACAAATTTTTGACTTGGTCTGCTGAGAGGATCTCAGACTCCTCGAAGGCGATTTTTCTGACGGGTTTTTGTGTCAGCGCCTTTATCATTCCTTCGACTTGATAAAATTTGGCCTCAATCAGCAGTTCATGACGAATAGTCTTATCATCGGGGACGACAAGTTCCCCCGTGCGAAGATAATTCAGGATGTACCGGAAGTGAGTTCCATCTCGATCAATGAAATAGGTTCCATCCTCGTCAGGTTTTGTGTCAGACCTTCCAGAAAACATGGCATGTAACACGCAACCTAGATGAATAAGCACACAAATTGGCGTTAATTAGTTACATTTGATTCAGGTCGACAAACGTCGGAATTATTAAGATAAGGTAATAAATGGGTAAGTTAATTATATGGAAGACTTTCCTTTTGTTTTTATCTTCATCCGTTTCTGCATTCCCTTTTGATGCCCAGCTAACGTGTATGACGTTTAATTTTCCACGTGAGCGATCCATGGTGAGTGAAAGTCCATAAGTCTTTAAGCAAGGGATTTATTCTATGATCTGGACTTCTGGCATCGTGTCCGAACGTTCACAGTTCGTCAGTCGCTTGCAATCAGACCCAATCTTTACCATCCTTCATTATCCTCGTTGCTTTTAAGTTGCCCCTTCCAACTAATCAGTTCATTTTCTTACCCAAACGACTTAAATTTTATCGTTTCGATGTATCTTAGAGCAATTATAGTTGACGCTCACAATGATTCGAAATACTGTGACGCCATAATAGTGTTTCGAATTAACTTCAAGATCCTTTAACAACTCTTATCAGCCAGTAATACCTAGTTTATGTATTTTAAAAGTAAGAAACATAGATAAGTTACCTGGATCTTTATTCATAGTCAACAAACTTGTCGAGAAAAGGTGGCCACCAACATTAAGTTTCAGCATCTTTGAGAAGTGGACATGCTCAAGCTTGTCCGCCACCTCATCAAACGCTTTCCTTTCTTTGTGAACTTTATTCGCCTCCTGTTTCAGAATGTCGTAGACACATTTAATATACTTGTTTATTTCTTCAAAAGCTTCATCGGAGGGTAATTCGGACGCTTCTTCGAGCTCTCTTGATGAAGACATCTCGATTTACTAGAACAGCAAGACACTTTAGCGCAGCACAAAGATAGATAGCAAAGTTAACACAAACAATTTCAGGTATCATTCAAAAGCAATGCATTTTATTACATGTCTAAAATAGGAGCATAAGCGATGAAGCGTGATTAATCCAATCAAAAATGACAAGACTTCCTCACTGTTCATTAATGTTTTTCACTCTAACGAAAGAAAAAAAATTTCCTGAATACAATCCCCTTGAAAATAGTTCAGGAGAACTTTTACAGAATAATTAATTAATATGTATGGTAATTGTATGGTAATTATATGTTGGATGAAGTTGAGCATGATTGTAGAAACAAATCTCCCGCCGAGCCCCAGTCCGCGCGGCTATTTACGTGAGTTTGACTTTCGCGCGGAACATGTACATAAAGTTGTGAGCTCAAGTTGAAATGGAATTGAGAGTAGGATCTTATGACAACCGTATTCCAAAATCATCAGAGTAAATTGACCTTTCGTCAAGTGTCTCGTATTTCTTATGTTGTTGGTATTTCCTACGTTATTCCAATTTCCTGCTATTTGTATTTCCTACATTACTCGTATTTCTGTTATTTCTGTTATTCGTATTTCTAATCGTGTAATTAGTTTTTCTGTTCTTAATGTATTATGTTCGGAACACTTTATTAAGAAACCACTGGAGGTTACGTGTAAGTAGAAGAGTTCGATCGATTCTCAAGAAATTAAACTCTTCTTAAATTTGTGGCTGGTTTGTTGGTTATAATGATATCTTGAATTATCGAAACCGAGGTCTGAGTGAACAAAAATCAAGCTTTTGTAATGGACTTGTATGGAGGACATAGCTTTGAATAAAAACTAAAACTGCGTATCACTTTAATGGTCTCTTTACTGCTTTTCATGCAAGATTGCATCGTGACCAGTATAACTACCAGAGCTAAACTCAGATAAGACAAAGATAAAAAGGATGAAAATCCTCACGTTACCCAAAGATATAAAATTAGTTACCATGAATTCGATACATTAGAATTCTTATAATCCCAAATAAATGCGACAAAAGAAAAAGTTCTTCCTCTGCGTTGTCTATCGATATGTTTATCTGCTTCGTAACAGTCTTCTTGTAGTACTTTCACAATGTCTTTGGTACAGTGCAAGACATTCTAACAAACGTAAAATAATGACGGGGCATATATTGAACTGATCATAATCACAAATGCCAAAGAAGTTCAATTAGTAACTTATTACAACGGAAAACCTGTTAACTCGTTATAATTAATAATGATAATAGGACTGAGTGGAGTCCAATTCGGTTTGTAATCATATGAATGATTAACCAAATCGGACGACCGCGAAGCGGGAGTCCGATTTGTCTGTCACGAGCATGATTACAGACAGAATTGGACGACACGAAGTACTGTTACCAATTAATCATAACCATTACAATTTCCGGAAAAAAAAAAAACATTTAGGACAAACAACTCCAGTAGGGATAGTGTCTATAGCAAAAAATTTGGACATTTCCCAGTTTTCTCTCCAGGATAAGTTGTTGTTGCTATGGTTATTGTGATCAATTCTGTGATTGGTGGATTTAGCTGAGTGGACTTAGTATGGTTGGCTGCTTTAACTGTCCGACTACAGGTGTCCAATTGCAGTTAACTGTCCGATCACACTGTTCCACTGCGACTGTACAGACTGGTAAGTGAAATATAAAGTAGCTGATGCACCAATAACATTTGAGGAAATTGTAATGGTTATGATTAAGGGTTTAAGTGTTATTTTTAACTTACATGGATTGGTTATCTACCACATATCACGGACAAGTAAAGGCCATTAATAATAGAATCTGCCCCAGTCAGCTAATAACAAACGTTTTCAATTATTGAATCCAAAAACTTCCATTTCACTCACACGAAAATATTGACTTCCTGTCAGAAACGCGTTTCCCGCTGCACACTGATATGCATTGTTGAGGATCGTAGAGCAATTGTTAGTATTTGGTGAGTTGCATATGACAATATCATGAGCATTACCACCTCCAAATGTTGGGCCATGGCCACTGTTGCACCAGATAGAATATCCTTCCTGTCCAGCTCTGAAGGACATTTTTGTTGGTGACTGACCACTTGGGTTGACGAGACTGAATAGGAACGTGTTTTGTGCCCTTTTATATCCTGAAGAGCCTTAAAAATACAAACGCAATCAACACACTTTCATATCTGGTGGAATTGCGACTGGGTTTATAACTGATTAAACTAAGAGTAATCTGGCAGCCCGTCTTTCTTCAAATTGCTTCAACGATACAGGGTTTCAAAAATGTGTTTTCAATTTCATAGATAAAAATTTACAAAATCGGAGAGGAATTTTTATTATTTTAAGCTTCCACTTTAGTAATTCTATTAAGTAATTCGCCAGAATACGATCTTAGTCAAGACTCCTCAGATATTTTAACCATTAGAGACAGATACAAGTCACTAATCGACACTAAAATTGTTCGTTAGATTCTTACCATCCCACTGTGCTTCAGAATATCCTCCAAATATGTAATTTCCGCTCTTTATCACTGTAACTGTAGGTCCTTTGTTGTCACAACAGGAGTGAAAATTGGAGGCCGCCCAGCCATCACGAGAAGCTCGGTATAACAATTCAACACTGACGCTGTCAACGCCAGGGGTGTTCTTCAACCACTTCACCAAAATTTTGCTTTGGTCTTTTAGGAGGATCTCAGACTCTTCAAAAACGGTTTTCGGTGTCAGCGCCTTAATTATTCCTTCAACTTGATAAAATTTGGCCTCAATCAGCAGTTCATGGCGAATAGTCTTATCATCGGGGACGACAAGTTCCCCCGTGCGCAGATAATTCAGGATGTATCGGAAGTGGGTTCCATCTCGATCAATGAAGTAGGTTCCATCCTCGTCAGGTTTTGTGTCAAATCTTCCGGAAAACATGGCATGTAGCATGGAACCTGGATGAATAACCACACAAAATGGCGTTAATTGCATTTAATTCAGGTCGAAAAATGTCGGAATTATTATATTGAGATGAGGTAACAGAATGGATAAGTTAATTATATGGAAGACTTTTCTTTTGCTTTTTATCTTCAACTGTTTCTATATTTACAACGTTTTCCCAATTAAGTTTATTTTTTTCATTTTTGAAGTCCGGCCAATGTGTGTGACGTTTAATTTTCCATGTGAATGACCCATGGAAAGTGAAATTCCTTTTATCTTTAGGTAAGGGATCTTTGTTATGATCTGTGCTTCTGGCATCGTGTCCGCAGGTCACAGTGTTTCGAATCATTGTGAACGTCAACTATAATTGCTTTAAGATAGATCAAAACGAGGAAATTAAAGTCTCTTTGGTAAAAATACGAGCTGATTGGTTGGGGGGATCCGAAAAGCGACGAGAATGGCAAAGGATGGTAAAGATTGATACTGATTGAATCGACTGACAAACTGCGAACGCCATTACAATGTTTCGAATTAACTTTAAGATCATTTAACAGATCTTATTAGCCAGTTACTGTATGTATTTTTAAATGTAAGAGACAAGGCCTTAGGTACCTGGATCTTTATTCATGGTCGACAAACTTGTCGAGAAAAGGTGGCCGCCAACATTAAGTTTCACCATCTTCGAGAAGTGGACATGTTCAAGCTTCTTTGCCACCTCTTCAAACGCTTCCCTTTCTTTGTGAACTTTATTCGCCTCCTGTCTCAGAATGTCGTAGACACCTTTAATGTACTTGTTTACTTCCTCAAAAGCTTCATCGCAAGGTAAGTCAGACGCTTCTTCGGGCCCTTTTGGTGAAGACATCTTTCTCCACTAGCGCTTAAGAAAGTGATGTTTCCGTGAACAATTGATTCCGGGAATCTTTCCGGAAACGATGCATAACTTATTACTTGAATGGTCACACAACACGTAACCTATGTCACACGATATGAAGTACTCGCGTCGACACAGTTAAGAACCTGTTTTTCATCACAGAATAGAAGACATCCTCCAAGTGCTTGATGATATCATTTCGCTTTAGTTTCTTTTGTAGTTTCAGAATAAATTCTGCAAGTTAGCAAAAGGGGGGGAGGGGGGTTCACGCAAAAATTCCCTGAATGGGTCCCACAGACGGACCATTTAAATATGTTTTGCGGTTATCAACAAGGCAAAAGCTAGTTACGTAGTGCAGTAACAGACCAGAGCACTCCCTTTCTTCTCTAGTTGCTACATTTACATCGTAAAGATAGTATGTAAACTAAGAACAGATTGTGCGAAAGGCACCTATTAACGCCGACTTCTGCGATCGGATTAAAATTCAACCAGCTCGGTTTTTCAATTCTTTCGTCAAATAACAACAGTAAGGCTGACGTTTTGCGAACTTTCATTCGGTGATAAACTGATGTTTTTAGATTTTTTTTCTCTCTCGCATAGTCCTTAGGTGGAAAGAAAATTGCTTGAAAAAATTTAGAACGCATTTTACTCTCGCACAGTCCCGTGTTGCAGAGAAAACGTATGATGGACGTTTTAAACGAGAACAGCCTGCTGTGATGTTTTTACATTCGAGATCTCCTGGTAGGACAAAGCTAGGGTGCAACTGTGCCAATCTCTTTTTGGCCAAAACGTGCGCTCAGTTCCGAGATAATTACGGGCAGCTCGTATTTTGAGAGAAGAGAGAATGTTTTTTGCTGCAAATGGCATCACAGAGGGGGAAATTTCTTCTTAGCACCTTAACTTCCCGAACACGCCCGTGGTCAAGTAGTCCTCTAGTTCACATGAGGGAACAAACTCTATAATTAGAACTGAAATTTTCTTAGTTTCTTGTTAATAACATGTTCCAGCCGGGCGATTTACTGATGGAGCCACGTGGGAGCTTGAAGAATTCACTACGAATCATTAACCCTACAAGACACCCAATGAACGACACAGAAAAAAGGTCTGCAGCTAGGCTCAGTTGTTCGAAGGCAGATTAGCGTTAACCCAGGGTTAAATATTGATTCCGGTTTCTTTATTTCTGCACCCAAAAGCCTTTTGGGGATAATTTTCTCTATCTTTTTTTTTTTTTTTTTTTGGTTTTTTTTTTTCACTGCATCCCATCATTTAATGGTAGACAAAAGAAGTTTAACTGAGTTTTCTTATAAACCTTTTATATATGAAATCAAATTTGACACTTATCCTGGGTTATCTTAACCCAGCTTTGAACAACCAAGCCTGAGAAATAACAAGAAATGTGCCAAACATGACCAACTGATAGATGGAGAGGTCTCTTTGAAACCACATATTCAATGTTTTCTTTAAAGATCCTAATTTGTCACGACTTTTTTTCTTTTCAGACACTTCTAGATCATATGTAAAAATTGCTTCCTAAAGAAAAAAAAAGGTAACAACAACACTTGCGTAAAGGTTTCCGGGTGATACCCAATAAAGCAATACCTCTGATTCACTAAATGTGAAAATTAAAATCATTGGGTCAGTAACTGTTGAAAATGGATATCGGCCACCGTTGAGATGTTCTCAAGCTGACGTTTTGAGTTAGCTCTGACGATGGGACAATACGCAAAAGATTATCTGAAGAATTTCTTAACGGTGGCCAATTCACGTGCACATCAGGGTTTTTCTTTAAAAGCAAAATGCTCGTCGCTGCGCAATGGAACTATTCGCTGACAATGTCGAGAGATTGCTTTGCAAGTTTTGAGAGCATTATTCTGACTGCTTTTATTAAAGGGAATAGCTTCTCCCCCCCCTCCTCTCCCTTTCCTGTCAAATACGGTCGAAAAGTTACCTGTGGTGCATACAGAGTGCCGGGGCTTCTGAAAAAGGGAAGGAAGACAGGGTGATAACGAAAACAAAAGTATGGGAAAGACTCTGTTTGATGGTATTTTTTATTAACATCAATGGTTTTAAACCTTAGTTCCACAAACATTTATGGATAAACAAAACTGCGAACATGTACATTTGCGCAACATCATCTGCGTTATAGACAATGGAAAGGTCTCAATAATCAGGATTTTAAAAAACTATTTAAACAATTCAGCAATTCATCAAACCAAACGAACACACATTACGATCTTTTCCATCACTATTTTCCTTAAAGTTTGATTTTTCTTTTTTTCAAGTCAACAGTATTGGTGCAACTATGACTTGTCAAAGAAAATGAACGAGAGGCAGTAGTTTATAAACTATTTTCGCTTCAGTCGTAGGAAAAAAATCTTGTTTACTTCTATAACCTATAAACTTCCATTTCACTCACCCTGAATGTCTCACTTCTTGTTAAAAACGTCTCGGCATTTTGTCCTGATGGACATTGGTAAGCGTTATTCAAATATGCAAAGTTATTGTTGCAGTTTGGTGTATTGAAAATACAAAGATCATGATAATTTTCACCTCCAAATGTTGGTCCATAGCCAGTATAACAATACATAGCATATCTTTCTTGTCCACTCTTCAAAGGCATCTTTGTTGGTGATAGACCACTCGGGTTGACAAGACTGAACAGAAACGAGTTTTCTGCACTTTTGTATGATCCACTACCTAAACAAAAAACAAGCTAACCAGTTAAAGTGAATGCTTACAGAATCTGACAATTTTAAAATTCCGTTGTTCTGCTATCCAATAACTAGTCACCAATTTTTATTTTTTTGAATAGAGCCTTAATGTTGGGTGAGGAAAGGTCTTGTGCAATGAGCTAAATGTACCCGTCGTGCGAATGGTGGTTGCCTTTAATCTGAAAGAGCACAGACATACCAGAGGACGTCACCACAAAATTGTTTCATTTTATCTGTACAGCGAGGGGCTCAAATTTGAAACAATTTTCCGAAATAATTTTATATTGGAATCTTGACGGCCTCTTACTGGCACTAATATTGAACTCGATTTCGTTCATCACGTTTCTGCGCCCTCCGCCTTTCCGTTTTCTGAAGCAAAAGTTCCTAATTTTGCAAAGACTAAGGATAAACATTTTCAGAAACAGAGACCCTCCCTTGGAATTTACATTCGTTTTGAAGTTATATTTTCTTTTGATGAACGTCCAAGAGGGTCTCTAAATTTCTAAGGCTGAGGAGTGGAGATTCTCCACAAAACAACGGTATTTTACTTATAGTCGCGCGCCGCGACAATTTATAATGAATTGCGATTTTTGGAAAGGCGCGAGCCGCGACACGCGACACGCGACGATTAGTCACACTCGAAACAACACACTGCAAATGTTTTAGCGTGCGCGGGTGCGTAATGTGATGTCAAATTCGGTGCCTGATTTAGAAACACAACCGGTCATTTGCCATTATCCTGTTCCTATCTCATTTTGATGTCCTCTGCGACGGAACAGACAGAATAAAATGGAGTCCAATTGTTGATAGTATTTATTGTCCAATCTTTAATCTACTTCAAATCCTCAAGGTGGAAATTTACAACAAATTAACATTCTTTTCCTGAACACTCAAACGTTGGGGGACATTTATGCCTTTTCAAATACTCCGTTAGCATTATAATTATTTAAGCATCCTTGTCGTAACCATCCGACAATAATTTGAGAACAACTGAAAGAAAAGAAGTAGGTTAGTGTTTAGAACTTACTTTCCCAACTTTGTTCAGTAAATCCTCCAAATATATTATTTCCACTCTCGATCACTGTAACTGTTGGCCCTTTGTTATCACAACAGGAGTGAAAGTTGTAAGAATACCAACCATCTCTAGAAGCTCGGTACAACAAAAGCTCATTGCTGTTGGAAACGCCCGGTGTGTTCTTCAACCAATTCATCAAAGTCTGCCTCTGATTGGACGAGAGAATCACTGAATCCTTGAACGGTTGAATCACAGTCTGGATTGGATCTGCTAATGGCGTTGGTTGCAGCTCGTTTATCATTCCTTCGAACTGGTAAAATTTGGCCTCAGCCAGCAGTTCTCTGCGAATGATCTCGTCATTAGGGACGATAAGCTCCCCCGTGCGCAAATAATTCAGGATGTACCGAAAGTGGGTTCCATCTCGATCAATGAAGTAAGATCCATCCTCGTCAGGTTTTGTGTCAAATCTGCCAGAAAACATGGCGTGTAACATGGAACCTGCGATAAGGAGCAAAAACATATTTCGCCGAGAAATCAGCTTATGTCAAATACCGTTCATTTTGCTGCTGGGCAAAGTGCGAGGGTTTCGTATATTTTAAAGAAGGAGGAATTTTTAACCGTGTGCTTAAATCAAGTGTTGTTACTAACTGCGATAGTGGGCTTCCACGACTGTAATAGATCATCCGTGCCTTCACCAATGTAAAATCGGTAAGAGTAATGCTGATAGGATTTACTTCAGGATACATTATGTACTGTACTTTCTCATTACTAACATGATTTCTCTCAAATTACATCGAGAATGGAAAGTCTGCAATCATTATGACGTGAAGCCGTTTAGATCCTAAATACACGTATTTTAAATCTTGATCAAATGAAAATATACAATCAAGAGAACGATGCTATTCCGTTCCTCTTACATTTTATGATTAAATATTGCTTATTTGTTTCGGTTTTTTTTATTTTTATTTTTTTAAAGTTACCTATTTGATCTCTAATCACTATCTCTATGCACCTTATCAACAGTATATCTGGTAGATCTATGGAAATCTTGGAAGAGGAGATTTAAATGATTTCATCCTAAGTCATTACAACTATGCTAGGAGTTTGCGAAAGGAGATGGGAATCATACTGGTTTTAACCTCTAAGCTAAGAGAAGCTAGCATCTAATTTCTCCTTAGAAAATCATCCCTGAATAAAGGATTTCGAACAAAGAAGTCGCCGTCAAACTAAAATTTGCCACACATGATGTTAAAAACGAAGTTTCCTTTCTTTACGCAAGGACCAGCCTTTATACAAAGATATTAACAATTGCCTGGAACAGTAATTTTTGTTGGTTATCTGCCTATTTCTGGAAATTCAGTGCAGCGTAACTAATCAGGGGGTCTATAGCATTTTAACAGCTTCTTCGGCCAGGCGTCTTTTCGCCTTTTCCCCGTTCCCTACCCCCATCGTACACCTCAAATCCAAATCAAACATGGCCGGTCGATAAACGATCGCGAGCTTATAACGTTAGCTCCCACTGATAAGACGACTACACTGCAGGCTACAACTTAAAGAAAATGCATACAGAACAGTATGGAGAATATGCATACTTGAGCTAGGGTGTAAAGGGTTAACGACTGATGAAATCTACAATCTTCGGTATTTAAATTAGCTGGTTGTATTGTTTTTTTTTTTACTTGTCATGTCGGTAAGTTGCAAGCATAAAATATGCTCTATCTTAGTTTAATCATCTCAGACTAACTTATTAATGTTATGACAAAATGTAAGCCCTGATAGAAAGGTGCGACGAGAATATCCGGGATATCCAGTTTTATTTTACCCTGTTGCATTTTTGGTTACTCTTGAGATTACTTGTCGTATCTGTCAAATATAAACTTTAAAAAATTTGATCTAGACAATCTTTGAAAATAATCACACTCTGCTTTTACCGCCGGTGACACCTTATTTGAAACTTTCTTGATGTAACATTATCCACTGAATGAAACTAGTGGACAGCGTAGATTGTTCATTGCATCAGTGCCGAATCCAATTTAAAAAATAAGTATCAGCTGTTTAATAGTACTATGATCCACTCTCACTAGGAAAGCTTGCAGTTAAAGATACATCAGTCACATTGAGACATGAACAAATACACGCAGTTAAATACAAACCTAGTTCGTTTCAGCTCATTTTCAAAACTTGTTGTAAAAGAAGACACCACTTTCCGTTGAAAGTATTCACTCGTTATGGCCGACGATCTTTTGTATATTTATTTGTTATTTGTATCCTCCGTCTTGTTTTTCAAATCTGGTTCTTTCTGACAGCGAATGCGCTCTCTCGGCGTTAGTAGCTCTTGGCGTAAGCTACAAGAACACGTATCCGTAGTCTCTAGTAGATTACTCATTTCACCTTCCTAGTCATTGTTTTCTTCCACACTTTTGGCTCGTTTTGGCTTGAAACGATACCATTTAAGAACTGTCGTGACCACGATCGAAAGGTAACCGTCGACACAGGCGGGGGTAATGAAAAGTTGGACGATTTGTGGTCATATCTAAGCTAATTACCTATTCAAAATGGCGGTGCACTTTGGCGACTTTTAAGTGGGTTTTCATTAAGATCGGAGCAACTTTGGAAACTGAAAAAACGGTAGCTAACTCGGCTTGGGGGAAAATATTTATTGGTGACTACAAAAGATATGCGATTTTTTGAGTGACCTTGTTCTTTAAGCAATTATAGTTGACCCTCATTGTGATTCCAAACAATGTGACACCATGCATAACAATATTTCGAATTAATTTCAAGATCCTTTAACAGCTCTTATTAGTCAGTGATTCTTACTGTATGTATTTTTAAATGTAAGAAACATGGCCTAAGTTACCTGGATCTTTATTCATGGTCGACAAACTCGTCAAGAAAAGGTGGCCGCCAACATTAAGTTTCAGCATCTTCGAGAAGTGGACATGCTCCAGCTTGTTCGCCACGTCATCAAACGCATCTCTTTCCTTGTAAACTTTGTTCGCCTCCTGTTTCAGAATGTCGTAAACACCTATAATGTACTTGTTTACTTCTTCGAAAGCTTCATCGGAGGGTAATTCGGACACTTCTTCGAGCTCTCTCGGTGAAGACATCTTGATTAACTAGAACAGCAAGACACCTTAGCGCAGCACAAAGTGATATTACCGAGCCTTTTCAGGCATGCAAAGTTAACATGAGCAGTCGATTCCGGGATTTATTCAATTTCTCGGAAGCAATGCATAATTGAGTGGTCACACGCATGTCTAAACATAGGAGCATACGCGATTAAGTGTTGCCACATGGAGACCCTACTTTCATCACTGATTACAAGACGTCCTTAAAGTGCCTCTTGATGCTGTTTCACTCTTGGTTTTGGTAAATTGCGTACAAATTTTTCACTCTAACGATCGAAGTTGAATCAAAACTTGGACTGTTCATAAGCATTTACGCGAAAAAAATCTCCAGGATACAATCCCCTTGAAAATAGTTTAGGAAAACTTGTACAGGAGTTGAAATAGTTTTACTCAGAGAACCCGGCCAGTTACACATTAGTTTAGAGTTTATCGACAAGGGAAAAATTAGTTAATTTTCCGTAACTCAGTCATAAAGCAGAATTTTATGTTGCCCTTCTTTTTTAATAACAGCATTTCAGTTCAGTTTAGAAATAATAAGCAAGATTGTTCGAAAGGCTCCTTATTGCGCTACAGGACTAAAATCTAACCGGCTCGGTCTTGAATTATTTCATAAAACAAGTACAATAAGGCTAATATTTTGCCGGCTTATATTTAGGGATTAGAGGCGTAAGAACTCACACATTTATCTCAAAGCACACAGAACAGAACTCAGGAGAGTAAATCACACCACAGGTGAATAATTATTAGATGCCCATTCTTTGATATAGTGGCTTTGGTACTAGTAATATGCTAACCGCTGGCCGAAATCTAGGAAGTATCACGACAGGGATAGACAGATTTGTCTTGACGTATAGTCTTTGCCCTCGCACAGTGCCAAGACTGTTAAGAGAAAAAAAAACGCATGATAAAAAATCACAACTTCTTGTCCCCTAAATTTTTGTTCCATACACAGAGAATGACAGACGGTTAGCGCTATTCTTTTGATTGTTTAACGAACCTAGCTATGGTCCGGTCTGAGCCTCGAATTAACCCCCGACTATCCGCCAGTTTCACAGTTGAGCGGTCTCCCAGCTGTACCGAGCTGGTCAAAGGAGGGAACATTCTCCAAACTCAGATCTGAAATTTTCTTAGCTTCTTGCAAATAAATTGTTCTAATCAGGCGATAAACTGATAGAGTCCCGAGTGAGCCTGGGAGATTCATTACCGGCATTGCACGTGTGTGACACACCCAGCTGGCAATGCAGAAAAAATTCAGAGAGCTAACTTGATTTAGTAACAAAATGGGTCATTTGCCATTTCCTGTTCTTAACTCATTTTGATGTCCTCTGTGACCGAACACACAAAACAAAATAGAACCTAATTGTTGATTGTATCTGATGTCAAAATTTTAATCTGCTTCAAATCTTTAAGGTAGAAATTTATAACAAATGAACAAACTTCTCCTGTACACTCAAACGTTGGGAGACATTTATACCTTTACAAATTAATTATTTTAGTTTCTCCTCGTGATTTTCAGACAAGGATTTGAGAACAACTGATAGGAGAGAACTAGGCCAGTGTTTAACACTTACCATCATCCCAACTTTGTTCAGTAAATCCTCCAAATATATTATTTCCACTCTCGATCACAGTAATTGTTGGCCCTTTGTTATCACAACAGGAGTGAAAGTTGAAAGAACACCAACCATCTCTAGAAGCTAGATACAAGCTCACCGCAGTGTGTTCTTCAACCAATTCATCAAAGTCTGCCCCTGACTGGACGAGAGAATCACTGAATCCTTAAACGGATATACTGCTCGTTCTAGCTCGGTTATTAACCTGATAAAATTTGGCCTCTGCCAGCAGTTCTCTGTGAATGATCTCATCGTTAGGGACGATAAGCTCCCCCGTGCGCAGATAATTTAGGATGAACCGGATGTGGGTCCCATCTCGATCAATGAAGTAAGATCCATCCTCGCCAGACTTTGTGTCAAATCTGCCTGAAAGCATGGCGTGTAACATGGAACCTGTGATAAGGAGCAAAAATATATTTCGCTAAGAAATCAGCTTATGTCAAACACATGCATGTATACATATCCTCGGGATGCACTCCCACTGTGGTAAATGAGAGAGCTAGGGGTGATTGAAACATTCTCCTTATTTCTTGATGCGCTTAAACATTCTGAAGATATTAAACAATCATTCAATAGTTTGGATAAAATTATGGGTAATGCATATTTTGAAAGAGAGTGCTGCTTAAATATTTATTTTTACGTCTCTTGACTGTCTTCTTGTGTCTCGGTTCTAAGCCAATTTTCCTCTGAGGAAACTAGATTTACGCATTGAATTTAAAATCGAATTATAACGAACACATCCGTTTTATGAGAAAAAGAAAGTGGAAATGTACGGAGAGCTTTGTCAAGAACATGCAGTCTGAAATTAGCGCGTGGAGGGCTAAACGTATTTATTGTGTACAATTCTCAGAAAAAGCTGTTCTTGACCGTCATCCAAAAGAATCTGTAATTTTCTTCCGGAATTCATTGAAAAAGGAAAATTCAATTAGATATTTCAAAAGTTTAGAAGCATATTTCTGAACAAAATTAACAAAATTGACAGAGTCCTTAATTTGCGCGCGAATGAGTGATTACTTGAGACAGACCCTTTTAAAGATAAAGTGTTATCATCCGTCACGAATCATATAAAATTACTCGGGCTAGTTTATCCGTGCCCCTTTAACGTTTGTATTCCCTACAGAACAGTCGAACTGATACCTTGCCGAACCTTAACCAAATCATCTGCTTATAAATCCCACCCCAGGGCCTCGCTCGTATTTTGACAGTACTTATACAAATCATAGCTGCTAATCCCGTCACTAATTTTTTTGTTTTATATTTCCACAAATGACAAAGGCATAGCAGCTGGTTTTCCCAAGTAATTGATAAACGTCTTTGATTACAAAATTTGCACATGAGTGAGTCGTTCATTTGCGCATGAGTGACTCCTGGAGCCAAACCCTTTCAGAGTGAAAGTTTCAGCTTCCTTAAAGGTTCAAGTTTCGTTTAAAATTTGTCGGGCTTCTAGTTGTTCTTTATTCTTCATTTCTCTCCTTTAGTACATCGTTACCTCCTTAGTGTAAACGTTTCTGTCTAACAAAAATTAAACCACTAACATTTGGCTTTTGTATGTTTAAAAACCATGTTTTCGGAATACGTCTTCATAAAGACGACTAAACCTTTCCAGACCAATCGAAGTTCAGTTAACAGACATCACTTTGTAATATTCTAAGTAACAGTGAAATTACCTGGATCTTTAGTCGTGGTCTCTTGACTTTGTCATGAAGATATGGCTGCCGACATTCAGTTTCAACATCTTCGAGAAGTGAACATGTTCAAGCTTCTTTGCCACCTCGTCAAAAGGTTCTTTCTCCTTGCGAAGCTTGTTCGTCTCCCGCTTCAGAATGTCGTGGACGTCATCAATATGCTTGTAGAGTTCCTCAAAGCTCCCATCGCTGAGCGAATCCTCTACATACTGCGACTTACGAAATGACGACATCTTTCTTCCGCAAGAGACAAGATAATTTAACGACGCAGTACTGAATTGGAATGATCTGTTTCCTCGCGTGACCGCTCTGCCCCAGTGATGATAGTTGTAAGCCCTTAGATTCCCATATTTGTAATTCTAATTTTTCCAATTTCTCATGGCAGAATGCATTTGAACTTGTCTCGTCACGTTACAAAAGAGAACGCAAGGTGAGTTAAACACGAATCACAAGTGATAAATTCTAAAGTTTGTGCTAAATTTTAAGCCACAAGCGTATCAAACTAAAATTTATCAAATTTCTATTTGTATTTACACGTCGATTATTCTCAGAGATGTTGAAACTGAATGTCGGTGGTCATAAATTCACGACAAGTCTAGAGACCATGACTAAAGATCCATGTATTGAACTTTACTTAGCATATTACAAAGTGATGTCTGTTTAATGATTTCAATTGGTCTGAAAAGTTGTGATAATACGCAAACTAAGGACTCAATCTTCATCTTTTAATCAAAGGCATCTATAATCTATGTGAGAAACCAGCTGCTGTGCATCTATCATTTATGGAAATTGACAGGAAAGATGCCGTGAAGGAAACTGTCGGTGTTCGATTATTTGGTAGGGCAGACAAACACTTAAGGGGTAAAGATAAACTAGCCCGTGAAATTTTATATAATTCGTGACGGAAGCTGATACTTTCATATTCAAATTGAAGGAATCACTCATTCGCGCGCAAGTAAACGACTCTTCATTGGAAATGCAATACTAAACTTTTGAATATCCAGTTTGAATTGCCTTTTCTTACGAACTGCGGAAGAAAATTACAGGCTCCCTTGGTTGACGATAAAGAACAACTTTTTCTGAGAACAGAACAATGAAAACGCGTTTAGCCCTTAACACTTCAAAATCAGACTGCATATTCTCAAAAAAGCTCTCCGTACATTTCCACCATTTTTTTTCTCGTAAAGTGAATGCGTTCGTTATAATTCGATTTTAAATTAAATGCGTAAATTAAGGTGTCTCAGAAGAAAATTGGTTCAGAACCGAGACAGAGGAAGAAAGTTAAGAGACGTCAAAACAAATATTTAAGCAGCGTACTCTTTCAAAATATGCATAGCCCGTGGTTTTATCCAAACTTTTTAATGATTGTATGATATCTTCAGAAATTACGATTTCTACTACGAAATTCCATTCATACTTAAGCATAGAATTACATAACAAACTTCAGTAAATCTGGTTGACATATTTAAGTCTTAAACGGATTTCAAGTCAAAGTCATCTAAAACTGGTTATATTTGTGTTGAAATAAATCCACAACTGAAGAAAATATAAATCAGGCTAATTTAAAATTTATCAACTTGAAATTCATTTAAAACATAACAATGTTAATGATTTCAAGCTTACTTCACATACATAAGCTGCCCCTCTGGATGGTAGTGTTTTGTGAGTAATGCAACATCCTACTAGCAAGATGATTAAGACGGCAAAGCATGAAAATATGCCTATGAAGTGACTCCACAACAGTGTAAGACTATCATGGAATGTAGAAAGTTTTTTTTCCATAAATAAAAAAAGTAAATGCACGAAGCACCTCAAGCCTGTAGTATTTTCTAAGCCACTTGAGATCCTACCGGCTAGAGGTATACGACCAAGGAACAGGAAGATATTTTTGACAAAGTGATGCTGATGTAGTGTGAGACTATATAGAATGCCAAAAAGCAAAATTCAACGAAAATTGTGTAAAAATTGGGCAAAGTCGATTATATATTCAAGCTGTACCTCTAGCCGGTAGTATTTTCTAAGCCTCTGAAGATCCTACCAGCTAGAGGTACAAGACCAAATTAAAAAAAAATTTAAATTTACTCTTGTAAGAAGTAATTGAAGTAACTGCTTCGTGACAGTCTTCTTGAAACTCTTTTACAATGTCTTTGGTACAGTGCTAGAAATTTTAATAATCATAAAATAATTACTTCTTCTAATTGCTTCTACTGAACTGACCATAATCACAGTTGCCAAAGAAATACAAATAAGTAACTTATTAACACGGAAAACCTGTTAAAGGTTTGATTGTTATTTTTAACCTACATGAATTATCTATTACATAACACGGTCAGGTAAAGGTCATGAACTCCAGTCTAAGAATCTGCCTAGTCACATAATAACAGATGTTATTAAGTGTCGAATCCAAAAACTTCCATTTCATTCACACGAAAGCTTTGATTTCCTGTCAGAAAAGTGCTTCCCACTGCGCACTGATATGTATTGTTAAGGGTTGTGGAGCAATTGTTAGTATTTGGTGCGTGGTGGATGAGAATATCATGAGTATTGCCACCTCCAAATACTGGGCCATAACTGCTGTTGCACCAGATAGAATATCCTTCCTGTTCAGCTCTCAAGCGCATTTTTGTTGGTCGCAGACCACTTGGGTTGACGAGGCTGAATAGGAACGAGTTTTGTGCCCTTCTATACCCTGAAGAACCTTGAAAATACAAATGCGATTTACAAACCTTCATATCTAGTGGATTTACGACTAGGTTTACAACTAATAAAACTAAGATTAATCTGGCAGACCGTCTTTATTCAAATTGCTTCAACGATACAGGGTTTCAAGAGTCATATACACTCTATCGGAGATGAATTATTATAGTTCTATCAAGTGACTCGGAACTCGCCAGGATACGATCTGCGTCAAGACTCTTCAGATATTTTAACCATTAGAGACAGAGACAAGTCATTAATGGACACTAATATTTTTCGTTAGAATCTTACCATCCCATTCTCCTTCGGAATATCCTCCAAATATGTAATTTCCGCTCTTTATCACTGTGACTGTTGGCCCTTTGTTGTCACAACAGGAGTGAAAGTTGGAGGCAGCCCAGCCATCACGAGAAGCTCGGTATAACCTTACAACACCAAAGCTGTGAAGGATTGGGATGTTCTTTAACAACTCCACTAAACTTTTGCCTTGGTCCGCTGAGAGGATCTCAGACTCCTCGAAGGCGGTTTTTCTGACGGGTTTTTGTGTCAGCGCCTTTATCATTCCTTCGACTTGATAAAATTTGGCCTCAATCAGCAGTTCATGACGAATAATCTTATCATCGGGGACGACAAGTTCCCCCGTGCGAAGATAATTCAGGACATAGCGGAAGTGAGTTCCATCTCGATCGATGAAGTAGGTTCCATCCTCGTCAGGTTTTGTGTCAAACCTTCCAGAGAACATGACATGTAACACGGAACCTGGATGGGTAAGCACACAAAATGGCATTAGTTACATTTGATTCAGGTCGAAAAATGTCGGAATTATTGAGATAAGGTAATAAATGGATAAGTTAATTATGTGGAAGACTTTTATTTTGCTTTTATCCTCATCTGTTTCTGCATTTACGGTTCCCTAACGTGAATGACGTTTAACTTTCCATGTGAATGATCCATGGTGAGTGAAATTCCATATGTCTTTAAGCAAGGGATTTATGTTATGATCTGGGCTTCTGGCAACGTGTCCGTACGTTCGCAGTTCGTCACTCGATTTCAATCAGACCCAATCTTCACCATCCTTCGCCATCCTCGTTGACCCCTCCAACTTATCAGTTCATTTTCTAACCAAAGGGAACTCAATTTAATCATTTTGATCTAACTTAAAGCAATTAAAGTTGACGCTCACAATGATTCGAAACACTGTGACGCCATAACAATGTTTCGAATTAACTTCAAGATCCTTTAACAACTCTTATTAGCCAGTTATTCCTACACTGTAAATCGAAAAGATCTGATCCAAATTGGATCTATCCAAAATAGGGTCATTTCGTAGAGTAAAATACAATCCTATTTTAAGTGCCAATTTAGCCCTTCTGGAAAAGAGTTTTTTTGGCCCCAGCAAAGAGGGCAGAAATGGTCCTGTACGGGATAGCCGAAACGACTTCATAACGGGGCTGTTTTGGGAAAATGAGGGGTACTTTTGGAAAAATGAGGGGTAGTTTTGGCTTTCAATGGGGTCAAAATGGTACGATTGCATGGCCAAATCAGCCCTTCTGGAACCAATTCCTACTTTAGAGGGAGTGAAAATTGGTCCCTATTTCGTGGCCAATTGTAAAGTGAACCACTCCGCACTCTCCGCGCGCTCACTGAAGCGGCATTCCTTTGAAGCAAGTTTGCACCACGAGGCAAAATCTTCAGCAATTTGGGATGTGCACTCGTATGGGGCGAGCTCCCAAGAAGGTCTTCCTTGAACAGATTTTTCGTTGCCACACCGAAAAATACTGAGGCTGATTAACATAGTCTTTGTCGAAATTTAACCTAGATGACCCTGGATCGCTTTCTGCGCTGGAGCTCTTCGACAGCTACGGCTTACCAGATACTGAAGTACAAGTGTACATGTGTCATGTTATCTCATGACTTATGACGTGATGGAATTGAAGGGATTTCCAAATCATATAAAACTCATGGGGTACAAATAGTCTTAACATGAATATAGTGACCACGCCCACTTCAACGCCCCACTCAAATCGAGTGTAATTTTCGAATGTTTTAACATCGTGCGGATTCTCTACGGAAAAAGCACTCAAGTACCTCTGAAATATTAAACTATAATATTGTGGCTTTCTATTTCGCTAATTTTCTAACTCGAAGGTAAAGTTTTTCCCTCGTCGTTTTTACCTTTTCTCCGAGCGGTTGCGTGAAATTAACAAGGCGTTTTTGATCAAAACACGACCGAGCGAAGGGTCTCGGGCGATATCTCTTTTACGCAGGCGCAAATTAAGGCGCCCTCGGTATCGATTTAAAATCATATCGATCTCAATATCATACAGTTTGTATCTTTCTTTCGTGGATTCACCTATCTAGCGGGGGTGTATGTTGAGTATTCATTGCAAAATCGCTTTTTTTTTTATTTCCCTCTTTGGCCTGTCCGCCATTTTGAAAATTCGCAACGGAAAGCATGCGCATTACGTGGGGTTAGTGGTCGCGTACACATGGAACCGAGAAAAACAAATGTTTGTCGCGCTGGGGATAGAGTTTGATATGCACCACAATTAATGCTGTTTTTCCAGCCCGAGTACAAATTTATGTTTTCTTGCTTCCAAAATTTTCTTTCAAGCATTGGTGGAAGTTAAATGGAAATTTCAAAACTTTGTTAGATAAGTGTTTTTGGCGGAATAATACCCATTAATAAACAAAAAACCATCGTCTTCGTTGTTTCTCCTCCTGCTCTCGCCCTCGTATAGATCACGCCTCCCACCACCTTTTATCCCAAATAGAATAAAAAATATTTCAAGTTTTATACTGATCGCTAGAGACTTGGTAATTTTTCACAAATACTCGTGGCACTTGCGTAAAGAACAGTCTATTGCTTCTAAGGTCACCAGATAGTCTTGTGATTATTGCTCAATCAATTTCGGTTGCTGTTGCCCTGTTCCCTCCCTATGGTTTGGCACTTCGCTGGAGCCCATTACTAATCTAAGTAATGGGCCCCTGCCCTTCAGCACTCATGGGATTGGTATCTTAGTTTAATATTAACAACATAGCAAAATTTTATTTTGAGCAAACAAATTTATTTTAATTCCTCAAAGTAGCAAGAAATGCATTAATATAACATCGTACGAACCTTCAGCGAATGAACTCAACAATCAACTGAACAATTTTGTTGGGAAGAGCTTTCTATGCTGACCTCAACGAGGAGTTCGTATCGAATCACGAGGTCCAACTCTTCTACACGGTCTTTACAGTAATTACCGGTTTAATACAATTACTCATTAAATACACTTTCTACAAGACAATTGTTAAACTGTCTCATGCATTCTTCACGTAGATTCCTTTCAAATTTTCAAATGGGTTTTACTTCCGAAAGACCGAAACAACGCCGCACGAAACGCGATGCCTACGCGAGTTGATTGCACGGCCACATAATTAAATTTCTTGTCGGTACGTTGGTAAACAAAACCTTTATGGTGACTGAGATAGCCGGTGCATCAGTGAAAACTGTGTAGTTACACTTGATTGAACTCGAGACTATTTACCTGTTTAAAGTGAATTTCTGGGTCAAACAGAACCCGATATATAATTTTTCTCAGAGAAATGGCCAAAAGTAGACAGCTATGTTTGTAAATGATTACCTAACTTCCTTGAACCGGTAACACCTGTCGTGGAAGGAAAACGGGCAATCTGCTTACACTATAGCATAAAAAATAAGTTGCCAGTAACAAGAATTAGCTGAGACTTAGGGGCAACGGAATTAAGAGAAGTTTCTTTCGGAACAGCGAAGTCGAAAGACTGGATTTTAAATTTGGGATCGATTTTCGGGAAACCCACTCCCTGGGCCGAATCTGCTAACAACCACCTGTCAAATGAGGCTCTTTCGGCCTCTCTGAAGTTTGTTTCGTGGTATGCAAATTTTTTTTTTCCGATGGGGAAACTGTGCAATCGAAATTGTCCATCCATCACGGAGGGAAAATACTTTTTATGACACCGATGAAAGGTCTTGTCTTTTAATGATATTTTTAGCTTAAAAGCTGCGAGTTCAGTAGAAGTTATAAAAGTTGTTATATTTGGATAAAGCTGATGGTTGAATGGATTTTTTGATTGATTCATTTAATGGAAACCATGCTGTGTTTGAGTTATTCGAGTTGCAAAATATATGGAGCTGATAATGCTGAATGTTCTGGATCGAAATGACTCTGTTCTTTGAGGCCAAAAATGGTCTGAAATGGCCCCAAATTAAGGTTAACTGACCCATTGGGGAAAAAAAATGGCCTTATATGGGGGCTGATTCTCAGTAAGGGGCTGAATCGATTTCCTCTACCAAACGGTTTTTGGTAGGGCTGAAATGGTTTTTTGACGGGCTGAAATGGTTTTTATTGGGGTCGACTTAGACCCAGTTGACAAATTTACAGTGCAGGTTATGTATTTTTAACAGCAAGAAACATGAGTAAGTTACCTGGATCTTTAATCACGGTCGACAAACTTGTCGAGAAAAGGTGGCCGCCAACATTAAGTTTCAGCATCTTCGAGAAGTGGACATGTTCAAGCTTCTTTGCCTCCTCACCAAACGCTTCTCTTTCCTTGTGAACCTTATTCGCTTCCTGTTTTAGAATGTCGTAGACACCTTTAATGTACTTGTTTACTTCTTCAAAAGCTTCATCGGAGGGCAATTCGGACGCCTCTTCGAGCTCTCTTGGTGAAGACATCTTAATTTACTAGAACAGCAAGACACCTTTGGGCAGCATAAAGTGATATTACCGTGCCTTTTTAGGTATGCAACGAACAATTGATTCCGGGAATCATTCAATTTCCCGGAAGCAATGCATAATTTATTCCTTGTCTATGATTGCATGTCTAGAAATAAGAGCATACGCGATTAAGCGTTGCCACAAGTAGACCCTACTTTCATCACTGATTACAAGACTTCTTGATGTTATTTTACTCTAGGTTTACTCTAGGTTTTGGTAAATTCGTAGCTGAATCAAAAATTGGACTGTTCATAAGTGTTGCGAAAAAAGATTTTCCAGGATACAATCCCCTTGAAAATAGTTCAGGAGTTGAAATAATTCCATACAGAGAACTCAGTTACATACTAGTTTAGAGTTTATCGACAAGGGAAAAATTAGTCAATTTTGCCTAGGTCAATCATAAACCAGAATGTTGCTTAGCCCTTCTTCTTTAAAAACAACAATTGAATTCAGTTTAGAAATAATAGGCAAGATTGTTCGAAAGGCATTGAGCAACTTACTTCTCTACGGGATTAAAATCTAATCGGCTTGGTCTTGAATTTATTTGTTAAAACAAGTGCAATAAGGCTAACATATTTTGCTAACTTATATTTAGGGATTGGAGGCGTAAGAACTCACACGTTTATTACAAAGCAAACAGAACAGAACTCAGGAGAGTAAATCACACCACCTGCGAATAATTATTAGATGCCCATTCTTGTATATGGTGGCCAAGGTACTAGTCATAGGCTAACCGCTGGCTGAAATCTAGGCAGTGACAGGGATAAACAGATTTGCTTTGACATATAGTCTTTGCCCTCGCACAATACTATGGGTGTTAAGAGAAAGAAAACGCATGATTAATGTTTTGGACGTGGACCACCGAAGTGTCCACCAAGTGCCATGCATAATTTTTTTTTTAGAGATCGGCTTCGCACCAAGTATACAAAAATCCCAATCTCTTGTCGCCTAATTTTTTTTTTCCATACATAGAAAATTACAGACGGTTAGCGCTGTTCTTTTGATTGTTTAATGACCCTAGCTATAGTCCGGTCTGGGTCTCGAATTAACCCCCGACTGTCCGCCATTTTCACAGTTCAGCGGTCTCCCAGCCGTATCGAACGGGTCAAGGGAGGGAACATTCTCTAGACTCAGATCTGAAATTTCTTAGCTTCTCGCGAATAAATTGTTCTAACGAGGCGATAAACTGATAGAGTCCCAAGTGAGCCTGGGAGATTCATTACCGATCATCGCACATGTAAGACACAACCAGCTGGCCGTGCAGGAAAAAGGTTGAGAGAGCTAACTGAAAAAAAAGTCTTCACAGATCTTGGACATGCATAGCCCTTCTCACGTTATGACATATCAACCTGAAGATTATCTAAATTTCCATTTTATTTAACTTTCCATCAGTGTCATCGTGTCACGTGAACATGAATCTGAGCAGCGATTGGTCACTGGTTTGTTTTGGTCCGAAGCTTATTCAAGGAGACCCACTGGTTTGTTTTGGTCCGAGGCTTATTCAAGGAGACCCAAACAAAAGCTCTCGATGCAGTGAGAATCATCTAAGTCAGTGGGAGGGCGACTATTTACACCGGCATACATTACTTACAATATATAAGCTCTCTTTAAGCACATTACTTACGAAACATAACTTACAATTAGCTGGGTACAATGAATTTCCTATAACTAATTGAAGACTAGAATAGCACAGGAATATTAAAAGTTTAGTTGCAACATATTTAAGGTGTCCAAACCTTGAGGCTCAAAACTTATGATTCGTCTCAAGAAGGGATGATTAGGGTTTTGTCCATTGAGTGTCGAATTTAAAGTGCGACTGCATCGATTTGGTCTAATTTCTCTCCATTACTGATTTCGTAAACTCGATTTATATATTATACAAGCCTTTCGGTAACTATTTTCGACTAACTCGTGCTTAAAAGCTTCGCTTGTTTTTTAACTTTCAACTTAGTTTGATGAAAAGGTGACGGGGAGGTCGACATAGGAAAGCTGTTTGAAAGGATACCACGGGTTGTCTCTTGATTATTTTTTAACATAATCTCCCGTCAAAGTTGGTTTGAATTACTCGACTCGATTGATTTTACAAACGAAAGCAAAGCAATTTCCTTTCTTTCCTTATTACCTCACGTTTCTGAATAGAATTAAGAAGTAGACTTAAGGCTAGCCGTTATAATTTTTTTTGTTTCATATATCTCATTGCAAGGAAAAACTGAGGTGGATAGAGAAAATCAACAGTGCAGTTGTCAAAAAGAATATGAATCAAAATCCAAGTAGTTATAAAAGGGGGATCTGGATCATTTTGAAATCAACCTTGATTTCAAAAAGATAGTTTTTGCACATTTTAAAAACAACAACCTTGATTTTAAGGCAACTTGAATTTTCACATACGAATAATATTCGCAATGTCTCACTCGGGAGTTCTGAAGAGGATGTGAAAATTATCCTCTTGAACGATTCTTTTGTCGCGCGATCGGGGCCTTACAGGTGTACCTGTTTTTTATGAGAAGCTTCCTCGATACATGGTAAGTTTTCAAACTTGCAGGAGCAACTATTAAAAAGAAGACTGAAAGAAATTTCAAGAGAAAAAATATTTCAAAACTATTGAAGTTAACCGAATATTCACAGGCTCACGCTTATATTTTAACAAAACGTTCTTTGAACAAAATTCACCTGTCTATTTTGTTTCCAAATCAAAGACATAAGACGTCAGAGTGTTTAAAACAAAAGACCACGTGGAAAAAGAGTGTTTCAAACATATAATTTAGTGTAAACAACTGAGTTGAAAACGCAACGTGCGACGAAAAGACTAACGTTCGAAACGTCAACCTTTAAACTCTTCACAATAGCCAATTTACGTTTTCAACTTACCAACTAAGTTGTTTACCCGTTATACGCTCCAACCGACGCAGCACTACAGTTTCTTCAGAAACTTATCCCCTTTATTTAGTTGTTTCAAAAATAGACCGCGTGAAAAAGAGTGTTTCAAATAAAAACCACTTGAAAAAAAGAGTGAAAAAATTAGGTGACAATATTGTAACATTACGGTCGAAAAAGCTACCTGAGGTGCATACAGAGTGCCAGGGCTTTTGAGAAAGGAAAGAAGGTCAGGGTGATAACGAAAAGAAAAGTATGGGAAAGACTCTCTGATGTTTTTTTTTTGTTTTGTTTTGTTTTTTTATTGATATCTATGGTTTTACACCAAAGTTCAAGAAACATTTGTATGTGATTAAAAGTGCAAACATGTACATTTGCATACCATCATCTACATTGTAGACAGTGGAAAGGTCTCAATAATCAGCATTTTAAAAACAGTATTTCAAAAACTCAGCAACTTATCAAACTAAACGAACACATATTACGATCTATTCCATCACTATTTTTTCTACAGTTTTGATTTTTCTGTTTTTCAAGTCAACAGTATTCGTGCAACTACAACTTGTAAAAGAAAATGAAAGAGAGGCTGTAGTTTACAAACTATTCTCAGTTCAGTCGAGGAAAAAACTCCTTTTACGTCTATAATCTATAAACTTCCATTTCACTCACCCTGAAGTACTGACCTCCTGTCAAAACCATGTTATTATTTTGTCCCGATGGACATTGATAAGTGTTATTCAAATATGTAGAGCAGTTATTAGAGTTTGGTGCATTGCAAATGTAGAGGTCATGACCACCCCCGTATGTTGGTCCATAGCCACTGTTATAAAACATAGCATATTCTTCTCGTCCACTCTTCAAAGGCATCTTTGTTGGTGACAGACCACTCAGGTTGACAAGACTGTACAAAAACGAGTTTTGTGCTGTTTTCCATGATCCGCTACCTAAATAGAAAAAAAAAAACAAAAAAAACGAACCAACCAGTTAAAGTTAATGCCCACACAATCTGACCATTTTAAAATTCCGTTGTTCTGTTACACTGCAGTGCAGGTGTCTCATTTGGGCGATTTAACGTTAAAAAGAGTGGGATCGCTTATTCAACCGACCATGTTTGATTTGGAGTCAGAGTTGACGGAGTTAGAGTCGAGGGGGGGCGGGGAAAGACAATAAGCCTCACTATTATTCACACCTCTTCAAACTGTCTCTCCCCAGCCTGCCGCTGCCATTAACATCATAGATGGCGGCTATAAATTTCGCTAGGCGCGAGCCGCGACACGCCACCATTAGTCACACGCGAAACAACGCTGTAAATTTTTTAGCGTGCGCGGGTACGTGCTTGTGTTACGTAATATACCATAAAATTCAGTGCTTGATTTAGAAACACAGTAGCTCATTTGCCAGTTTTCTTTTCTTTTTGATGTCCTCTGTGATCAGACACAAAACAAAATGGAATCTAATTTTTGTTTGTATTTATTGTCAAATTTTTGATCTGCTTCAAATCCTCAAGGTGGGAATTTATAAAAAAATTAACAATCATGCCTTTTGAAATACTCTGTTAGCATTAATAATTTGAGTATCCTTGTCGTAATTTTCCGACAAGAATTTGAGAACAACTGATAGGAAAGAACTTGGTGAGTGTTTAGGACTTACTCTGCCAACTTTGTTCAGTATATCCTCCAAATATGTTATTTCCACTCTTGATCACTGTAACTGTTGATCCTTTGTTATCACAATAGGAGTGGAAGTGGAAGAAGCCCAACCATCCCGGGAAGCTCGGTACAACAAAAGCTCATCGCTGTTGGAAAAGCTTGGTGTGCTCTTCAACCGATTCATCAAAGTCTGCCCCTGACTGGACGAGAGAATCACTGAATCCTTGAACGGTTGAACTACAGCCGGGATTGAATCTGCTGATGGCGTTGGTTCCAGCTCGTTTATCATTTCTTCAACCTGATAAAATTTGGCTTCTGCCAGCAGCTCTCTGCGAATGATCTCGTCATTAGGAACGATAAGCTCCCCCGTGCGCAGATAATTCAGGATGTAACGGAAGTGGGTTCCATCTCGATCAATGAAGTAAGATCCATCCTCGCCAGGTTTTGTGTCAAATCTGCTTGAAAACATGGCGTGTAACATGGAACCTGCGATAAGGAGCAAAAACATATTTCGCCAAGAAATCAGCTTATGTCAAATACATGCTTGTACACTGATCTTCGGGTATGCATACTAAATGGCACTCCCACTGTGGTTCAAGAGAGAGGTAGGGGTGGTTGGAACAATGCCCTTTTGTCTTTACTGCGTTTAAACATTGTGAAGATATCATACAATCATTAAATAGTTTTTATAAAATCATCCGTGGTGCATATTTTGAAAGAGCACACTGCATAAAACGCATTGAATTTAAAATCGAATTAAAACGAACACATCCGCTTTATATATATAAAAAAAAAAACAAAAAAAAACGGATATGTACTGATGGAGAACTTTGTCGAGAATATGCATTCTTATTTTAGAGTGTAAAGGGCCAAACGAATTATCTGTGTACTATTCTAAGAAAAAAAGTTGTTCTTTACCGTCAATCAAGAGAATCTTCCGGAATTCATAAGAAAAGGCGATTGAATAACTGAATATTTTAAAGTTTAGTGGCCCATTTCTAGTTGAATCGTTAAGATGCGAGTGAATAAGTGATTCCTTGAGCCAAACCCTTTAAAAAATAGTGTCACCTCCGTCACGAATTATAAAATATTCGGGCTGTTTATCTTTGCCCCTTTAGTGTTTGTCTGCCCACCAAATAATCGAAAATCGGCAATTTCCTTAACGGAATCTTTCCAGTCAATTCCATACATGGCAAATGCACCGCAACTGGTTTCCTCTATTAATTGGGAGCACCTTTGATTAAAAGCGGAAGATTAAGTCGTTCGTTTGGGCATGAGTGACTCCTCGAGCCAAACAATTTGAAAGTGAAAGTTTCAGCTTCCGTCACGGTTCTTATTTTATGTAAAATTTGTCGGGCCAGTAGTTGTTCTTCATTCTTCATTTCTCTTTTTTAGTACATCGTTACCTCCTTACTGTTTATATTTTCGGCTACAAAACAATAGAACCACCAACATTTGGCTTTCGTAGTTTTAAAAACCATCGGAATACGTCTTCACAAAGATCATTAAAACTTTCCTGACCTCTCGACGTTCATTTAACAGATATCACTTTGTAATATTCTAAGTAACGGTCAAATTACCTGGATCTTTAGTCATGGTCTCTAGACTTGTCGTGAACATATGGCCGCCGACATTCAGTTTCAACATCTTTGGGAAGTGAACATGTTCAAGCTTCTTCGCCACCTCGTCAAAAGCTTCTTTCTCCTTGCGAAGCTTGTTTGTCTCGTGCTTCAGAATGTCATAGACGTCATTGATGTGCTTGTGAAGTTCCTCGAAGGCTCCATCACTGGATGAATCCTCTGCATCTACAGTCTTTTGGCGTTGAAGACATCACTCTCGCAGCAAAGTTAAGTTGTATTCAAAACGCACTCGGAAGAATTGAGTAAAGTTTGCCTCACGCTGTTCTGCCCTAGTTCATCAGCTATCTGACCCGTTGGTTCTCGAATTACTATTCACAACGAGTGATGCTTAATTTCAGCTATTTTTCACAACTCAACTCATTTGTCATCCTCTCCACCAATCAGACGCAAAACTAAAACCAAACGCGTCTTGTTTACAGCGTCGTCGCTTTCCTGCGCCTCCAGGTGGGTTACGTTTTCTATCTTTGGGTTCTTATTAGCTCCTTCTGACTGTTTCCTTTTTTCTGCATGACCGTTGTGGTACAGTTTGACACTCACTTGAAATGCCCTGTATGACGCGGGTTTTTGAAGACTAGATCTTATCAGCTTATTTAAAAAGTTAATTTTCGTATATCCAAAGCGTAGTCATTTGCGTGCGTCAGGAGTGTGAGAAATAAATACTTTATAATATTTTTAATGCTATGTTCTTCAAGTTTACGATGCTAGAATTACTGAAACCATTGACCCTAATTTGAAGGCATGCACAACATAAATCTTTACATAACACTGTGGAACATAAAGGTTCATAAGAATTCTCCCCTTTCAATGCTTGACTGCAGTTTCGCTTTCAAAAAAGTAAACCACTCTTGATTTGGTTTTTCACGGTTTAGTTTTGTTGACTACAAAAGAAAAGGATAGATACAGTACCCATTATCATATTCACTTTTATTTCATTTAAAAAAGGTTTTTTTTCTACGCTTTGTCTTTTCAATTGATAATCTAAATGTTCGGTTATCAGTCTTGAATCTGCCTTGCGAGGTGTGCAAGGTTAGAATCAGATAATATGTCACGAGCCCACAGTGAAACACAACTTATCTAAACTATCAATAACGAGATGTGATCCTTAACAAACAGACACTATTATTCTGAATTTCAGTCTCGTAACAAGGCAACCATGCGCCTTACGTTTTGGAAACCGGACACATCCATGTCATCGACAGAACAACGACTTCGCTCGCCAATAAGACAACTCAACAAAGCTTTCAATAGCTGACTAAATATAACGGGAAAAGAAACACACACACAAAAAATAACGAGATTTGATATTAATGGTTATTAATTTTAGTCCACTTCAATTACTCTTGCTCCTGAACACCAAACACTTCCATTTCACTAACAGAAAAATTCCCACTTCCTGTTAAAAACGTTTGAGCATTCTGACCTGTAGGGCACGGATAAGAGTGGCTGAGGTTTGCATAGCAGTTGCCAGAATTTGGTGCATTTGCGACATGAAGATCGTGGTTTCCTCCAAATGTTGGCCCATAGTTAGTATGGCAATAGATAGCGTACGATTGGTATTCAGCTCTCAAAGACATCATTGTTGGTGATAGACCACTTGGGTTCACAAGACTGAACAGGAACGATCTTGGTGCTGTTTTGTACGATCCAGAAACTATTGAATAAAAGTACGTATATGGATAAATAAACAATCGCTTTCATTTGGCACCAAAATATGCCCGGATATTTGTGTGTGGACATTGTCTGTTCCAAGATGCAAACAGTTTTCCAAGAGCGAAGCTCGAGGAAAATCCTGTGATCCTTGAGGAACAAATTAAGTCAAAGGACAAATGTACGAGCATATCCAAATGGAGGCTACTATATTTCATATCCTTCAAATATGTGTGCAACGCACGGGAAAAATGTTTATGAAGTCTGCGAAGTTACTTCTTTACTACTTGAGATTTTCCCTTTTCCGTGTTCTCTGGTATGAATTTATGAACAAATAATTGTCCCTTCTTCTGTAACAACAGCTACACGTCTCTCACCTTGAATTTTAAAGGAAGACTAAACGTAGTGGACGTAAGGTTTGAAAATCGAGAAATATCACTTTAGGTATATCCACAGGTACTCCCCAGTTTAAGCTGGAGCACATCCGGTCACATGATGCGTTTACACCAATCGCTCGCGAACAAAAATATTTGATGGATTATTATGAATTTTCGATTACGGAAACTTTCAATATGACACAACCTAAAACTGCATCTATTTTTTCCTATTATTGTATTTGTATAGGCTGTTACTGAGGTAATCTCAGGACAAGCACACAGCTTTATGAACGCAGCTGGTTGAAGCTAAGTAAATTACGCAATGAGGCCTGAATATCTACATTATATGCTGTTCATGCAATTCAAATTCAACAAACTCTCAAGGGTGCGAGTAACTTTTTCTCTCCGTGTTTAAGTTTCAGCTCATGAGTTAATTTCTGTCGAATTTACCTTTACACTCAAAAAATACTTATAATTAAGACCCTACCATGTGACTCCCATGCGTGTTCAGTATATCCTCCAAATATATTATTTCCACTCTTGATCACCGTAACTGTTGGTCCCTTGTTATCACAACAGAAGTGAAAGTTGGAAGCTGCCCAGCCATCGCGGGAGGCTCGGTATAACAATTCATCACTGACGCTGTCAAGACCAAGGGTTTTCTTCAACCACTTCATCAAAGTTTTGCCCTGGACTGCTGAGAGGATCTCAGACGCCTCGAAGGCGGGTTTTGGTGTCAGCTCCTTTATTATTCCTTCGACTTGATAAAATTTGGCCTCAATCAGCAGTTCATGACGAACAGTCTTATCATCGGGGACGACAAGCTCCCCCGTGCGCAGATAGTTCAGGATGTACCGGAAGTGGGTTCCATCTCGATCAATGAAGTAGGTTCCATCCTCGTCAGGTTTTGTGTCAAATCTTTCAGAAAACATGGCATGTAACATGGAACCTGGATGAATAAGCACACAAAATGCCGTTAATTAAGTTAGAGTCAGGTCGAAAAATGTCAGAATTATTGAGATAATGGATCAGTTAATCCTATGGAAGACTATTTTGCTTTTTATATTCATTTGTTTCTGCATTTACAACGTTTTCCCAATTATGTTCTTTTTTCTTCATTCTTAAGCTCCAGCCAAAATGTGCAACGTTTAATTTCCATGTGAGTAACCCTTAGAGAATGAAATTCCATATGTCTATAAGCGAAGGATTTATGTTATGGTCTGGGTCTTCTGGCATCGTGTCCGCACGTTCGCAGTTCGACAGTCGATTACAATCAGGATCAATTTTCACCATACTTCGCCATCCTCGTCGCTTTTCGGTTTCCCCCGACCAATCACCACGTCTTTTTACCAAAGAGACCTCAATTTCATCGTTTCGATCTGTCTTAAAGCAATTATAGTTGACGCTCATAGTGATTCGAAACACTGTGACGCCATGCATAACAGTGGTCCGAATTAATTTCAAGGTCCTTAAACAGCTCTTATCAGTCAGTTATTTTAAGTGTATATATTTTTAAAACTGTAACAAACATGGCTAAGTTACCTGGATCTTTATTCATGGTCGACAAACTTGTCGAGAAAAGGTGGCCGCCAACATTAAGTTTCAGCATCTTCGAGAAGTGGACATGTTCAAGTTTCTTTGCCACCTCTTCAAACGCTTCCCTTTCTTGGTGAACTTTATTCGCCTCCTGTTTCAGAATGTCGTAAACACCTTTAATGTATTTGTTTACTTCTTCAAAAGCTTCATTGGAGGGTAATTTGGACGCTTCTTTGAGCTCTTTTGGTGAAGACATCTTTCTCTACTAGCGCTGAAGAAAGTGATGTTTCCATGAACAATTGATTCCGGGAATCTTTCCGGAAACGATGCATAATTTATTACTTGAATGGTCAAACACGTAACCTATGTCACGCGATATGAAGCACTCGCGTCGACAGAGTTAAGAACCTGTTTTTCATCACAGAATAGAAGACTTCTTTCAAGTGCTTCATGATATCATTTCGCTTTAGTTTCTTTTGTAGTTTCAGAATAAATTCTGCAAGTTAGCAAAACGGGGGGGGAGGGGAGGGGGGTGAATCAAAGAATGGAGTATTCGCAAACGTCCACTCAAAAATTCCTTGAATGGTTCCCACAGATAACCATTTAAATGTGTTTTGCGGTTACCAACAAGGCAAAAATTAGTTGCGTAACTCAGAAATGGACCAGAGCACTCCCTTTCTTCTCTAGTTGCTAATAAATACTATGTAAACTAGAAGCAGATTGTGCGAAAGGCACCTGATAGCGCCGACTTCTGCGATCGGATTAAAATTCAACCAGCTCGGTTTTTCAATTCTTTGGTCAAATAACTACGGTAAGGCTGACGTTTTGTGAACTTTCATTCAGTAATAAACTGGTTTTTTTAGATAGATTTTCTCTCTCGCATAGTCCTGAGGTGGAAAGAAAATTGCATGGAAAAATGGAGAACGCAATTTACTCTCGCACAGTCCCGTGTTGCAGAGAAAACGTATCATAGACGTTTTAAACGAGAACAGCCTGATGTGATGTGTCTTTTTACATTCGAGATCTCTGGTAGGACACAGCTAGGGTGCAACTGTGCCAATCTCTTTTTGGCCAAAACGTGCGCTCAGTTCCGAGATAATTACGGGCAGCTCGTATTTTGAGAGAAGAGAGAATGTTTTTTGCTGCAAATGGCATCACAGAGGGGGAAATTTCTTCTTAGTCCCTTAACTTCCCGAACACGCCCATGGTCAAGTAGTCCTCTAGTTCACATGAGGGAACAAACTCTATAATTAGAACTGAAATTTTCTTAGTTTCTTGTAAATAACATGTTCCAGCCGAGCGATTTACTGATGGAGCCACGTGGGAGCTTGAAGAATTCACTACGAGTCATTAACCCAACAAGATACACCCAGTGAACGACACAGAAAAAAGTTTGCAGCTGGGCACAGTAGTTCGAGTTAGCGTTAACCCAGGGTTAAATACTAATCCCGGTTTCTTTATTTCTGCATCCAAAGCCTTTTTGGGATAATTTTCTCTCTCAATTATAATTTTTTTTTAACTGCATCTAATCATTAAATTGTAGACAAAAGAAGTTTGACTGAGTTTCTTATAAACCTTTTAGATATGAAATCAAATTCCACACTTACCCTGGGTTATCTTAACCCAGCTTTGAACAGCCAAGCCTGAGAAATAACAAGAGATGTGCCAAGCATTACCCACTGAATATTTTATTACTTATCCCAGGGAGGGTTAACAACTTTGACACGAACAATTCATTTGCATAATATGGTACAAACAAATGATGGCACCTCAAATCTATTATCTTTTCATTAATATGATCATTAACCCCTTCCAAGCCCTACATATCAATTAGCTGCACTGTCTACCATACATTTCCTATAATCTTAGCCTGGAAAATTTGATATACATTCAAACAGTTGCCCACAACTGATATTTTTACCATCTTCTCTACACCTTTATGCTCACAAATGTATCTATAATTTAAAGAGAAATTCCTTTTTGGTCACTACTTGGAGTGAATAGCCTAGGCAGTCTCTTACTTTTCAAAACCAAAAACTTCCATTTCTTGGATGGTAAATGTCTGAGCTCCTGTAAAAAATGTAATAGCATTCTGACCTACAGGGCATTCATAAGTGTTGTTCAGGTTTACATAGCAGCTGGTGGAATTTGGTGTAGAAGGAAACCGAAGATCATTTCCACCTCCAAATACTGGGCCATTGCCATTGAAACAAAAGATGGCTTGTCCTTCACGTCCAGCCCTCAAAGCCATCCTTGTCGGTGGCAGGCCACTATGGTTGACAAGGCTGAAGAGGAAGGAGGCTGAAGCCTCTCTGTATACTCCTGAAGCTGTAAAAAAAAAATTTTAAAAAATAAAAAGTTGTGTCTATAAGAAATCAGTTGCTTCTTGTTTCGTTGAAGAGTTGAAGAGTCCAATATTTCTTTATAACATTAAAGAGACGGCAAACAAATGGAGTGGAATCAAGAGAAATTGCCTCAAGACTGTTAGTTATTATAAAAACCACTAGTCCATCATAATAGTCAACACAAACATTGTTTGACCTTTCTTGCCAAAGGGGATACAAGACCTCAAAGTTCTATAACAAATGAACACCCTTCCCTAAAAAATTAATACAATGACTCAATGGAAATTGGAAAGGGGATGACGTGATATAGATACCAAAATTTTAAAAGAAAGGTATTAATATAAACCTAAGCTGAAATTTCTCAAGAGTTGGAGGTGTGGGCTCATAAACAACACAATGATGCCCTCACTGTAATTGTATAGATCCTGCAAATAAAACAGAATCAGGAAGGGATAAAGGAGACTTAAATGTGATGGAAAAGTAAGGAGGTCAAACATCATATCTTAATTTGTGGCACTGAGGTCCTATGAGTCTGTCAAAAGTTTTAAGGGGGTAAGTTCCTAAAGAAACTGTAGTGCTGCATTGGTGGGAGAGTATAACAGGGTAATTTAGTTTTAACAACTGAGTTGATAATGTAAATTGGCCACCATCAAGATATTCTAAGCTGATGTTTCGAGCATTAGCCCTTCTTCAGAACTTTTTTGTTGAAAGTTTTGTTTGTTTTTCCACAAAATGTAAATTACCCCACCCAATGAAGGTTTTTTTTTGTCTCAAGCTCTTCACCTCTCCACCCTTCCCTTTCCACTGCCTCCCCCCCATCTATACATGAGCTTCAAGAAACAGATTCAAAATTATGAGGAAACATTAATTCATCCTTTCTAGCATTTATGAGAATTACTTAGTCATCAGAATGATTATCATTATAATTATTAATTATCACTATTATTAATATCATCACTATTTTGGTTATAATTATTATGTAGTGAGCTTTTAGCATAATTTTCTTCTGAATGTTAATTCAAGGAATCTAAATAAGCCAAGTTAATGAGATCCCCTTTAACCCCAAAGTGTGCCAAGCATCTAATTTCTCCTTACAATATCACCCCTCAATCACACATTAAGGTCATGAGAACAAAGAAAATGATCACCAGCAAAAGAAGTCCTTGATTGTTAAGCAAGTTCTCTTTTTCAGCACCCAAAGAAATATATAAGGAGCATTATAGAGAATATGCATACTGATGTTAGGGTGTAGAGGGTTAGAGAAGAAGGAGATTTCCTTTTAAAATGTGACCCTTAATAGGAGACCATTGTAGGTGACTAGCTCATTTTGTTTGACCCTTTTGCTCCCACGAGTGATCAAGAAAGAATTTCTCCCTACATAAACCGTACAATATCAAGCTAAAGTGTGATGAGAATAATGAAAAATACCATTTAGGGGATTATTAGTTGATCCAATATCAAACTCTTCAAATAACAACATAACAATTACATACAGACAGTAAGGAGAATTACTAATAAAATGTTGTGAGAGAAGGGGTTAAACCAAAATTAATTCTATATTTTATCAAGAGACATCAGCTAAAAGCAATTTACAATGATATTGTCAAATTTGTGTTTATGCACCTATGAAAGATACCTTCACAGCAAAAACAGTCACCTCACTACTCTACACGTTCTTCTTTACTACAAGGTTAGTAAAGACCTACCATGTGACTCCCATTGTTGATCAGTATATCCTCCAAATATAAAATTTCCACTCTTGACCACTGTAACTGTTGGTCCCTTGTTATCACAACAGGCATGAAAGTTGGACGCATTCCAGCCATTGCGTGAAGCCCTATACAGCAAGACATAATCATTGCTAGCATTTGTCATTGTATCCTTCAACCAGTTGATCAAGGTTTGCCGTTGAACTGATGACAAGATCAACGTGTCCTTAAAAGGTTTTCCTTTAAGCTCATCAGTAATTCCCTGAACTTGATAAAATTCTGCTTCGTTAAGCAGCTCCTTGCGAACAATCTTGTCTTCGGGCAAAACAAGCTGCCCACTGCGAAGATAGTTCAGGATGTAACGGAAGTGGGTTCCATCTCGATCAATGAAGTAAGATCCATCCTCACTAGGCTTTGTGTCAAATCTTCCAGAAAACATGGCATGTAACATGGAACCTATGGTTGAAAGGGGAAAAGATTTAACCCTTTTCATTCTAACTCAGTATCCTCATTCTCTACACTCTTCTCTATATATTTCCTTCAGTCCCTCAAGGAGAATTACTATAACAATCAAAGCTTTTTACATGGACAATCACTTCCTTTATTCTCAAGATCTTAATAAATAATTCAGGTTATTACTGTAGAGAGAAATTAAATGCTGGTCACTCTTGGGTCAAAAGGAATGAAAAAAAATTAAGAAGGCTTTAAATATTTCAGGATGTTTACTGTGTTATGACCTAGCACATAGGGTATCTGGGAATACAAACAAACCAAAACAATACAGAGATAAAAATTGCTGCTTTTTAATAATGTCCATCATTTTAAAAACTTGATGTTTCCCACTACATACAATAACATTCCTGAATAATACCAAAGTTGGAGAAGGAAATTCAATCTTAATTCCTGCCCCATTTTATTGGGATTCAATTCACCTAAATTATGTAGTTATTAATAATTAAAACATAATCACTTATTTATAATTAATAATTCTCTTAAATTATGATTCATTTCTCATGGGGGAAGGGATGGCTTAGAATATGTTTTTTTAAGGGACCTTTTACTAGTCTACAATTAAATAAACTCAACAGAGTGGCAAGACAAGATTTCTGCTTAACCCATAGGTCATTATGCATACAGTACTTGGATGGAAAGATTCAAAGGCACAACAATAACTACATCAGTGTCATTATCCGAGTAACTGCACACACCTACCGCCCTCCCTCTCCCCTAACCAAAGAGGGGTGGGTGTGCAGTTACAGATAGTGGTAACTAGATTTCTTCACGGCCGCACACTTCATTGTACACACAGATCTTGGATGTGGAAAGCAATAGCGAAAATAATTCATGGCCTTTGGGACCACGGTTTGTTTTAGAATGGTAAGGGGCTGTGCAAAAAATCTTACCGGGACAGTTTTAATAAAGTCCTTACCTGGATCTCTACTCAGTGTTGCCACACTGGTCGAAAATAGGTGACCACCGACGTTAAGTTGCACCATCGTCGAGAAATGAACGTGTTCCAGCTTCTTTGCGACCTTATCGAGAGATCGCTTTTCCTTGCGTGCTTTTCTCGTCTCGCGCTTCAAGATATCGAAAGCTTCGTTGATGCGTTTGTTCACTTCATCCAAAGCTTCATCGTAGTCAGATAAGTCTTCTTCGGAGTTGTGCGAAGTTAAATCGGACGAAGACATCTTTAGAACAAATGATATGTTTCTAGGAAAGTCACGCACACCAAAGCGAGATTTGCCGGAAGCGGAAGTTGCTCGTGCGTTGTTATGTCCCTCTGATAAGAGCAGCCTGAGGCTTGGTGTTCGGTTCAAGCGAGGAATATCTCGGAGATGCAGAGAGAAGGCTTTCACTGGTCAAATCAGAAATGGACGATGAATGAGCGGATGCAGCCGTGGAGGTACGTAATATAAGTGCCTAGCAGAACGGATTTTCCATCTTCTTACATGTTTCGAGAGGCTTTTGTTCATAGCAACCCTCCCATTTAAATGATTTGGCGCTGGAAATCCGCCACGATTTCATCCTCTTTTCACCTATGGGTTGAAATGGGCTGCAGCCGATTGTTATTTGGACGATTCACTCGTGAAGTAGCAGTATCACTGAAAATGAACTTTTTTTTCTTTCGCACCGATATATGGTTGGTGCGTAACGGGACGAGCGCTGAAAAACCTAGAGGCTTTGCCGTCCGCCAAGAAAGCAAAATAATCCGAATAAATATTATTGAGACTAGGAAAAAAAAAGAGAAGAAGCCATTGTAACGGTCCGAAATTTTATCTTTCCATCTGTACAATTTAATTAAGCAACAATCACAAGTTACAGTCGTAAACAATCGGTTTAGTAAACTCTGTGTGGTTCGGGCTTCGGACGTCATTTTGAGTATAATATTGATGCCTCAATAATGTCGCGCGAACGTGAATCTAAGCAGCGACTGGTTACTGTTTTGTTTTGGCCTGGGTTATCAAACTTGATAACTATCCAGGACTGTTTTTGCTCTCTTCAAAATAAAAAGAATATTACATGATTGGCCTTGCGACGCTATGAATTGAAACAAAAGAGTGCCGTATAATTCTATCGCTTCACGTGCTTAAGATGATGGTCTTAACCATAATAAGAGTGGTCTTTAGTAAAGAAATAAAATATTGAGTTATATACTGCACTTGGGAATTTTTAAGAACACGAGAGAAGTGCGGAGAAGCACGAGCCGAAGGCGAGTGCCTCTCGCACTGCTCGAGGAACAAGTTTATTTCTTTCTTTTATAAAATGTATTGTGAATTGCGCGCACTCGTACCGATGACGTAAGCTGCGTGCATTATATCTAAACAGTGCACTCGTGTGACGTAAGGCGCGTGCATTATGGAAATATGATGAACTCGTTCAGACCAATCACAGCGCGCGCATTTCTCTGAACACTTTATAATATCGGGTAGTCATCCCCTTTTTAGGGACGAAGTAATGTATTTTCCTAATGTTCACAAAAGAAGAGAAAAATAGAACTCGCTTATGTATAATTCTCAAAACCTGATTAAGCAAATTCAATCAAGTGTTTACTTTATACAAGAAGTACAACATTTTCTACAAAAGTTTATTTTGATGATTCATGAATCAGTCTCAGTGTGTTACAAATCAAAACCTACATGAATCTCGATTAACTGAACAAGTACTCTCCTTATGAAATTGACTATGAACAAGGCAAAATCGCTTCAAAAAAATCTGAGTCGATCAGTGCAGCTACAAAGCTCAAAAACACCTCTTACTTCTGAAATCCAAAAACTTCCATCTCACTGATAGTAAAATTCTGGTTCCCCTGCAGAAAGGTGGCAGCATTCTGCCCAGTAGGACACTGGTACGAGCTGTTCAGGCTGACAGAGCAGTTGTTGGAATTTGGCGCGTTGACAATACGAAGGTCGTGGCCACTTCCAAACGTGGGCCCATTTCCATTGTTACAGTGGATTGCATTCCCCTCTTTTCCAGTTATCAGTGGTAGCTTTGAAGGTGGTAAACCATTTGGGTTGACAAGGCTGAACAGGAAAGATTTAGGAGCTTTTTTGTAACTGGCTCCGCTTGCTGAACAAAAACAACAAAAGGTAAGTGAACCAAGCAGTGTTTCCTAAAACCCCGACGCTGATTATTTAAAAAATGTAAAATTATCAAACAGAGAAGCCTTGACTGTCCTCTTTTCTGTTGTAAAGCACGCAGGAAGCGGCTAGAGCACGAAAGAAGTAGGGCTCTATGCTTTGTACTCTAATAAAACTCGCTCTTTCAACCAATGGTAGCGCGCGTTATATCCAGACTTTATAATAAACTGTCTTATGGCCTTTATCACTAACTAGTGTTCTAGCCTAATTAAGCTGCAACAAAACTGACGGATCTATAGTTCGAGCCTGCACATGAAACTCTGATTTATTTCTGCTTTCCCGCTCTTAAAAATGACTAACATCTTCAAAAAAAAACATCTTTTAGTGAGATTTTCTTGAATTGCTGCGTGGATCTTGATTTTAACCACAATTTTGTGCAACGTTCTTGAGAGGTTACATTGTACAACTTCACTGGGAAAAGCGTTTGAAAAACTTTTGTCCTCCTTCACTGTACTCAGTTCCTCAGTTTACTGTGTGGACCATACTTAAATGCATACTCCCATACATGGAAAGATGTTTTGTCTACTTCATAAACTGAATACTGTTTGAAGCAACGTCCTCTGTTTAAGAAGAGCAAATTAAGGAGAACGAGGTTAAAAGCAGGGGGAGACTGGTTACAATTTGGAAAAGCAAGGGATTATGGGTCTTCTCGTTCCCGATTTCCTTCACGCGCCTGGAGGTATTCCAAAGCACACAGCTCAGGCCTCATGGAACAGGAAATAAGTCGCTGTAAACCTGTAGTTAACAGGGTTGGCAAGAAGTGTTAAAACTTACCGGGTTGGTACCACTGTTCCTCAGTGTATCCTCCAAAGATGTAATTTCCACTCTTTATCACTGTTACTGTTGGCCCCTTTCGGTCGCAACAGTAGTGAAAATTGGAAGCATTCCAGCCATTCTGGGTGGCGCGGTATAACAAAACGTAGTCGTCACTTGCGCTCTCAAGCGTTTCCCTCAACCAGTCAATCAAGATTTGGCGTTGCTCCAAGGAAAGGATCACAGAATCCTGAAAAGGTTGTGCTTTCAGCTCGCTGAGTATCCCTTCGATTTGATAGAATTCTGCCTCGCTCAGTAACTCCTTGCGAACGACTGCATCGTCTGGTAACACAAGTTTTCCGGTGCGCAGATAATTCAGGATATACCGGAAGTGGGTTCCATCTCGATCAATGAAGTAGGTTCCATCCTCGCCGGGTTTTGTGTCAAATCTTCCTGAAAACATGGCGTATAACATAGAACCTAGAAAAACACGATAAAAAAACCTTCTCTTAATGCCTCTTTCATCGTAAATTTGAACAAAGCTTCAAGTTTTAGAATATTTCAGGGGTGTTTTATTTATTCGATAACAGAAAAATCTCATTCGACCACGAATTATGATCGCTCTGAGTTGTTAATCTTAGATTACCTTCAATTAAAGAAATGACAGAGAGTGAAATAACACATCATACTTGTTTCTAAGACTATTTGAAATCAAAAATGACCATAAAGTATATCTTATAACAGAGAACGAAATATTCCTTTGATTAAGGCCGAACCGATGTCATAGAGGCATGCAGTTGATAATTATATTTTGATAACAAGATCTTAGATCAGGCCTCTGATTACATAACAAATGCGTTGGCTAATTCCTAAGTACCTGGATCTTTATTCATGGTTTCCAAACTGGTCGAAAAGAGTTGGCCACCCACATTGAGCTTCAGCATCGTCGAGAAATGAACGTGTTCCAGCTTCTTTGCGACCTCCTCAAAGGCTTCCTTTTCTTTGCGAACTTTGCTTATCTCGCGCCTCAAAATACTGAACGCATCAGTAATGTGCCTGTTTACTTCGTCTAGAGCTACGTCGTCCCGCAAATCTTCCTTTGAACTGCGAGAGAAAGACATCTCAGACTCTTTCACACCGTTATGCGAGTCACTTTTCTTCGAAACTTTAATGCGGGTAGAAATCATTTCAACGCTCTCCAACGAGACTTAGACAAGTACAAAATGCAAAGAGTTCCAAGAATTAACAAAAGATTCTTTGTCTTCATATTTCGCGGAAATTGCTCGAGGTTTTGATTAATTCTCGGTATATCGATTTCTCAGAAACAACTGGACGTTTAGTCCACGTGTAGTAGTACCCTCCCCCCCCCAAGGTAAAATGGAAGCGAGAGAGAGTCTACGCAAACCCGTCACTAATAGTGTTATGCATAATTATATAACTTGATGATTTTTTTTGCGAAGTGCCACGTGTTAGCGCGAAAGTTTATCGAGATAAACAACAACATTGTAGCGAATTCATCTTATATTTTTCAGGTAAATTTTGCAATCAGCTCCGAGTCTAAATGTAGGCTATGCTCCAAGAATATAGAAAAAGATTACGAGCGATTTTTGGCATAGAGTAAGAAGAGGACGATATTCGATTAGCATCGCGCTTACGAAACTACATTTAAACGGCTTTGCTTTCAACTCATTGAGTATCCCATCGATTTGATAGAATTCCGCCTCGCTTAACAACACCTTGCGAACGACTTTATCGTCCGGTAAGACGAGTTTCCCAGTGTGAAGATAATTTAAGATATGTCGGAAGTGTGTTCCGTCTCGGTCGATGAAGTAAGATCCATCCTCGCCAGGTTTTGTGTCAAATCTGCCTGAAAACATGGCATGTAACATGGAACCTGTGAAAACAATATGAAAAAAAATCTTTCAATACCTAAATCCTTTTTTCAAAAAGAATCAACCACATTTACCCAATTTGGCGTGCGGCATCGAACATCACAAAGCAAGCTACATTCGACCGTATCAAAAATGTTTTTAGTGTGGTGAGTTCAGTTGACTAGAAGTAATAGCGGATTATTTAAGACTACGTTCCACATGCCTGCTCGTTTTTAAACAAGCATAGAGACGCAGGTGTAATTTCAGAAGTCAGCCTGCAAAACGTAAGCATCGTTTTGAAAAATGGACTTAAAAATCGAATTCTCTCAACTACTTAAACAGCTGCTTGAATTTATGAATAAACTATTAAATGAAAGCGAACTTTGTACAGTGTATCAAAAAGCTAGATCTCAATTCTTAGTTCAAAATTCAAAACTCGCTTTAAAGTACCTGGATCTTTAGTCATAGTCGCCAAACTTGTGGAGAAAAAATGGCCACCGACGTTAAGTTTCAGCATGGTCGAGAAATGAACATGCTCGAGCTTCTTTGCCACCTCGTCAAACGCATTTCTTTCCTTGCGAAGCTTGTTTGTCTCACGCTTCAGAATGTCGAAAGCGTCTTTGATGTGTTTATTTACTTCGTCTAAGGCTTCATCGCCGGGTAAATCTTTCTTTGAGTTACGCTTCGTCGACATCTTAATTCAAGTGGGTTATACAAAAGGACGGGTGACGAAATCAGTTTTTTTTTTCCTGAGAAGCCCGAGATATATCGTCTATTCTCAGAACTTGCGTGCTGCTTTGATTATTTCAATAACACTTAGCAAAGTGGCGAACTCCTTTTTACGTGACAACAGGAAAAGGGCCAATGTAAGGTAATCTGAAATAAAAGGTCAGCGTAGAGTCTGAAACGGAAACCGGGGAATTGCATTCATTACCGTTCAGCGTAATTAATCATCAACGTTATCATATTAATTTAAAACTTTCATTGTAATTGTATACATTGTTTCGTTTTATTGTTTGTTTTGTCCGATGAGCATTTGCCATACACTTTAAATTCAACTTTTTACTTTGTATAAATCAGAACAGATGACAGTAGAACTGTCGAAAGATGTTTTTAAAAGATGTCGAATATTTTCTTTAACTGTGATTCTATATTTCCACCGTTTCGCTAAACACTTTACACTATGTAAGAAACCCACTATTAGAATGAAATGGATAAATTCAAAAGAAATGCACAGAGGATAAAATAACAATTGAGTTAAGGCCTGACGAGTAAATAAATAAAAATAATGTAGAGTTGTGCAAAAGATAGAAAGGATGTAATACTCTAAGTATGACATTTTTGTGGTTTAGATAGTTCTCTGATTTTCCTGGATCGACGAAAGAACGTATCCTCAGAAAAAAATTTCGTAAAATGATAAGCCACAAAACCTTATCACTTCCGGTCCTGAAATGAGAAAATGTCAACATCGTACCCAGGACTTTATCGGTCTATTTCTTTTTTTTTTGTTTGTTTTTTTTTTGTTAAGATGGCGGCCGGCCGGTTGGAAATATAACAGTGTTTTTGAAGAGTGATATAAGATCATAAGATACCGATTTAAGATAGAAGTGGCGATTTTAGCAACCGGGCTGGCTCTTGATTTAATAGTTACCAGGTGACAGCGGATTACAAATACACCACGTTATCTCACTACAGAACCAAGACGACAGGAACAACGCTTAATTTTAAAGGGGAAAAGAAACTTAGAAGGAGATGACGGTTCTTTTTTTTTTTTTTTTTTTTTTTTTTATCACCACGCATAGGTACAAAACATGACCTTCCTTGCTCTAAAGAGTATCAACCTCAGAAAATCTAAAAAAACTTAGCACCCCCATAAATTTACATGAGAACTGAAGCTAGTTTAAAAACCTTACTCACCCTCCCCGGCTTCCCCTCAACACCTTAATAAAACAAACTGCCCCTGCCTGCCCCCACTGCCTGCCTGTCGAATACAAATTAAGGCTTCCTTTTCTTTACGAACTTTACTTATCTGGCGCCTCAAAATACTCAATGTATCAGTAATGTGCTTGTTTACTTCGTCTAGGGCTACGACGTTCGGCAAATCTTTCGTTGAACTGCGAGAGAAAGACAACTTAGACTCTTTCGCACCGTTTTGAGAGTCACTTTTCTTTGAAATGCGGGAAGGAAACATTTCAACTTTCTCTAACAAGCCGTCGACGAGTACAAAATGCAAAGAGTTCCAAGAATTAACAAAAGCTTCTTTGTCTTCATATTTCGCGGAAATTGCACGAGGTTTTGATTAATTCTCGGTGTTTCGATTTCTCAGAAACAACTGGATGTTTAGCCTACGTGTAGCCGTACCCTTCCTTCTGAATGGAAGCGAGGGAAGGTCTACTCAAACCCGATACTTATCATGTTATGTGACGTTACTCTAATCTATGCAGAATTATATACCTTGATGATATTTTTTGCGAAGTGGCACGTGTTAGCGTCAAAGTTTATCGAGATAAACAATAACATTGAAGTGAATTCATTTTCCATTTTTCGGGTCAATTTGAAATTCAGCGTCCGAGTTCAAATAAATACTTTAGTTTGCTCCAAGAATATTGGAAAAGATTACGAGCGATTTTTGGTATAGAGTAAGAATAGGACGATGTTCGATTAGCATTGCGCTTACAAAACTAGATTTCATAGCATCGCATCACTGTTCGCAAAGAGACCGAAAGTTGAAGGTGGACGATCCTCTGGCCCAAGTTCATTAACATGAATGAATCCCTCTTCAGAGTCGGCTTCCTGAGGCTTAAATTACGCGCTTGACCGCCTTTGCCGGTTTTTTCCAAGACCTAGTCCGACGAGATTAGTCATGGGTTAAAGTCCACAAGACAAATGAATAGAGGGGGAAAATTTCTAAAGAAATTGCTGCGTCAGTAGGAGAGTATAACAGGGTAATTTAGTATTATCAACTGAGTTGATAAGATAAATTGGCCACCGTGGAGAGTTTAAAAGCTAACGTTTCGATCATCAGCCCTTCGTCAGAGTGATTGCAGGAATTGTGGGTTGGGTGTTGCTTATATGCAGAAAATAAGCTACGCTAGTGGTGGGAATATGGTGTCTTCGAGACGGAACGGTTAAACCAAATTCTGCCTTAGGTAATGGGGTTAAATTTCTAAAGAAACTGTACCGCCTCGTTGGTGGGGGTATCTTTGCCGAGAAAATATCTAAAATAAATCAGTGCTCTAAGTAATAAATTAACATTTCCATGCAGGAGAGACAAAGCTACTGCAAGAAAGCTGTTGCGTTCAAATGAATATAATTTGTCTGATGAGCAGGTCATAACTCAGGATAGATGCCTACGAGAAAATTTTCTTCTCTTTATGTTATGATGAAGCTACACAGTTTAAACTTTTTTTTTTGGCTATTTCGGGATAATGCGCCCTCTTAGCACTTTGTTGTTTTACATTAAGGTAGTAAAAGCGACTTTCTAGGAAACCAGAAACTTACAACATTTTCTTCGGCAAAAAAAAGGTTAAGGGAGTCGCAATTGTTTTGTCTGCTACTTGTGATAGCTGATAGCTGATAGCAGCCTTTTTATTAAGACGAAACCTAATTTAGGTTTGACCGAAACTTCTTCCTTTGTTTAAGTTGAAAATTTCTCACAAGTAAACAACGTA